ACAGCTAGGAGAAAAGGGGTAAGGAGAGAGAGTAATAGATTGTCAGGTGGCAGAGAGAGGAGGAAGGGCAAAGATTCGAGTTTTTCGATCATGCTGAGAAGGCTAGCTTTTTGTGTTCTGTCGTTAGAGAAAGCAGGAGGGGAGTAGAGAGGAGTAGAGGGCTGCAGGATTTGGGAAGATTGCTTATTATCAGAGGGCAGGCAGTTCGCTTGCAAAGAGGGCGTGATTTAGGTGAGCGGTAAATCAAGCATAATGTATATATCCTATATTATTAATAATTATAATTATTATATAAATAATATTAATTAAAGTAATTAATTATAAAAGAACTTTATAGCTTATTAATTATATAAATATTATGTTTAACGTTCTTTATAATATTATATTCTTAATATCTATATAATTAATAATTATTTAATCTAGAAGAAGAATATTATAAATATTTCTAAAAGAGGCAATATAACAGATACTTCTAAAAGAGGACAACGCCCTTTTCAGAAAGCGCTTATTAATGCCTTACTCAAAACACCCTATTTAAAGCCTACTAGGAGTAGGAGAGAGTACAAGTTCCCTTTATTAAATCGAGATACACAGGATCATCACTAGCAAGCATTTCCCAAGCGAGGACTCTATGTATAGTGTTGAAAAGGTGCTCAGGAGTCAAAATCAAAGAATATTAATACAAGGAGGCTGATTTTGGCTGAAATCGTCAATTCTAACGCCCCTTCGCGTTTAATAAGGTCATACAGAGGCTGTATAGCATGTAACGTACATCTCTGCGTTAAAGGAGCCTGCTTTGAGCAGTATCATAGTCAATAATAACCCAAATAACTGCTTGCTGTTGCTTTCTACTCAATTTTGGTAGTGCCAAGGTATTTTGGCGCTAAAAAGGCACATTTAATCGACGGCGCATGAGATAGAAGATAGCTGGATAAGCAGACGCTGGCTTTGTATTTATCACGCAAGAAACATTCTAAGTACTCTCTTAGTCTCAAAGTACAAATTGTGGTATAGCTCAACCTCTATCTAATCACAGCAACAACTCCATACAGCATGCCGCCTAAAGAAAAACGGACCTTTTATCTATATGAGAGAGGCTACAAGCCTGAAGAATTAGGGCTGGGCCATCTAGTCCTCGAAAACTATGCCTCGCCAACCCACGTACCCCACTGCCGAATCCCTCCTCTAAGGTAAAATAGCCATGCCTGAGACTTTATTTCTAGAGATATTAATAAAAAAATTATAGTAATAGCGAGCTTGCTAACTGGGTTAGTACGTCGCTTTATAGCGGAACATTTAGTAAAAATAAGGGCTTGAGTCTTAAGGGCAACACTGAGTTTGCTGGGCTAGGCAATGTAGGAGGTGGATATGCATTCGAAGAGAGCAAGTGCATCCAGTCCGACAAAGGTTGTAGACTGGAATTAAAAGAGTAACATACCAACGACTTACCTTTTATTGCTACAGGGTATGAATTAAGCTGACTACAGTTATATATTAGTCCCCAACGATTTTTTCAAGAGAAGATACTTTCTAGCGTTGATGTCAAGGAAAAGCTGAGGTTATGGCTTACAGTATCCCGTTCTGAGCACTTCTGGATGCAGATAAAACTGAGAGCGGAACCAAAGATCTGGTGCCTGACCGGTCTTATCGAACTGAACGATGTCACGGTGTTGACCGTCACCAAGACCAACCCTTCCGCCAGCGCGGGTGTCTCCTCAGAGCTGGGGTCCATGATGGGCTTGCCTGTCAGTTGCTCTTTCAACTTCGACAAGAACTACGCCGTCACCTGCAGCTCCAAGACACCCGGAAAGATGGTATGGGCCGCCCAGTACCAGCTCGTCAAGGTGAAACCGGTGGTCAAGGATTCCACGCCAGGATCGCAGACCGCGATCAACTACTTGGACATGTACCCCGACTACACCTACTCCGAGGGCCGGCGGGGGCTGTTCCAAGCAATGAACGACAAAAGGGACCATAAAATGGACGATAAGGAGGAAGGGTTCGAGCTCGAATTAGCAGATGTGGCTAATCAAAAAGGTGGCAAGGTAGAAAGAGCAGTGGATGAGAAGTACTGGAAGGTGTACTACGCTGTAGAAGAAAAAATGAAGAGTGCTTTACAGGCAAATGAAAGGCAGCGCCAGGTGCAGCGTTCGCAAAGTGCAGTACGCAACCAAAACCGTTGTACAACAGTCACAACGCAATCAAGGGTCACTGTACAACGCAATTAACGCAACAGCGACCTCTGTGGTTGTGACAGTAGTACAACCGGATATATATAGCGCTGGCGCTATTATTATTGTGGTTGAGAAATGGTTGGCAGACTATTTTCAGTGTGATTGATAGATGATTAACACACTAAAATTGAGTAGATTTTGTTTATTTTTATCCTAATTATACTCTGTAAGCTTATTAATTAGTTAATATTATAGCTGCGAAGACAGCTAGATATAAGAGTGGCTTCCGGACAAGTGATATAATAGATATAGTAAGTAAAGACAAGTTGCTAGCAAATCTAGCAACTTGATGCCTTTTTAGTGTAACTATAATATAGTCTCTTTACTTTGTATTATTTAGTTATTATATTATGCTAGATTTACTTAATAAGTTGTGAGTTTAATTCTAAGATAAATTAATAAAGACTTCTTAACTAAAATCTTTAAGTTAAAGTAAATTATATTTTATTATACGCCTGTTATACATTATATAGCAAGGCTAACATAGCCTATTAAGATAGTTAATATTGTTACGAATCCTCCCGCGACCTACGCCAAGGACCATATTCCCTGTGGCACTGACCATGGCTCACAGAGCTCATCTCGGACCCAGCTCCCCGCCGCTATTCTAGCTATCACTGACGACAGGTACCCACAGTTGTCTGTACCTGGCCTCAGCGAGATAAGGGGCACGGACATGTATATAGAGCGTTGTGTTCCCACTTTCGTTTCCTTTTCTTCACGCTTCGTCTTGTATATTAGGCCCAACCATAGCTCTCCTGACAAATATAGTAAATGCCTTTTAGCGCCCTTAAAGCATATTAGATTAGTATAACTACTTTCACTATAATATGATTCATAAGCAGCCTGCATATATAAGTAGCCTGCGCACCTTTCTTCTATATTATAATCTCTTGATTATTAGATGTAACTATAACACAATAACATAATAAACTCTTAATCCTAAGAAGTTAATTATACTTAGTATTCTAAAAAGTAATAGTCAAAGTGAGGTTTAAAGGGTTAATTAGGTAGAACAGAAAGTGTAATAAATAATACTAGAATGTCTTTAACTTAGATATAAGCTAATAATATAAGTTGACTACAAAGACTATAAAACTATCTGGGAAATAAGCGTACTTATATAGGCGAAGAGATTCATGCTTATAGCTGCTCACTTATAAGCGCCTGTAAGCGTTACTTATCAGTCCCTCCTTATAAATACCTTGCTCAAGGTTATCTCTGCATAAGCGTGTCCTTTCGCCAAGCCCCTTAGGCTTGGTTAGTTCTAGGGTCTCCTTACATAGGGTCTGTGTAGCCTCTAAGGCCTGTTAGTGCCTAGTGCGTTTACGTACTATAACAAATAAGTTATAAGACATAAAATTAAATACTACTAAACTCTTACTTATCTAGAATAAATACTTATATATAATAGCTAAGGCTTATAATTTATAATTATATTAATTTTTATTTAAAGAGCTTTTTTCTTATATATAAGGCGTATTTATAATACTATAATAAAACTAGTAATAATATATATAGTAGCTATCTAATATCTCTTTAATAAGCTATATAGTATAAAGACGAATACTACTAAACTCTTACTTATCTAGAATAAATACTTATATATAATAGCTAAGGCTTATAAAGTCATGTCTATCCTAGTTCTTAAAGTAAAGACTTACTCCTTACCTCTTTTATTATTATCTAATAATATTTAAATAGATTCTTATTACAGACTTATAATTATAAGTATAAGGTAACTTATCTACAAAAGCTATCTTTAGATTATTAAGAAGCTTGACTTATAACAGAGACGCCCTTATTACACTATTATAATACTAGGTACTAGAAAGTATAGCTGGCATAAATAACGCCTTCTTAAGCTTAATATAAAGACAAAGCTAAACTAAGCTTTAGAACACTTCTTACTATAGGAAAAACTCTTATAAGAAGCAGTTATGCTGCTTACAAAAGTATAATAATAATGCTAGTCTTATTACTAAATAGTTAAAGCGTCTTAGTTAAAGAACTAGTAATTATTATAAAGTACTTATTTAGTAATACTCTAGTAAGCCTTAAGCCTTATATAAAGTAAGAAAATTAGTAAGTAGAAATTAAGAATATATTAAGACCTAGCTAAGGCATAAAGCTTTCTTACTATATAGTTAAAAACTAAAAAAATAGACTTTATAGACTTCCTCTTTAAATAGAATATTCTAGACATCCCCTTACTATTCTGCAGGTGCGGTTAAAGAAGACAGACTGCCTAACACATAGTTATAGACTGCCCACTGCTCTCAGACAGACACAAGATGCTTGCCACTGCCAGTACAACAGATTACCGCTGTCTCCTTAACGATCTAAAGGCCCTCATATAACTCTTTTTATCTGTTGAAGTACCGCCTTGCAGGAGGATACTGTTCAACTGTTATGGTCCTGTCCTTGCCTCTTGTCTATCTAGATCTGGCGGTGCTGCCTTTTAAGTACATGGGTGAGCTTATTGATCAGGGGCAATAAGCGTGCGAGTAGGTTATAAGGAGTTCTTTTTTACACTGTGGCACATCCTGCAGTAGTAGCCAGCACCGTTGCATTTGAGAGCATTCGCTGGTGCTACAATCCTTTTTTGCAAGCCCTTCCTCCTAGCGACGTCCTTGCTAGCGCTGTGATGTGATTGAGTGGTGTCCATCTGTTGGTCATTGCTAGTAGTACGTAGTTCTAGCTTGACGCGCCACCCTTGGCTGAACCCCCCCTGCCGTGAGCCTATTCGCTTCCCACTGCTGTGTCCAGGTTCTACAATCTAGATCGAGAAGCCCATCGGCATGGCGCTAGGCCGCTTTGGGAAGTTGGCTGTACATGTACAGCCAATTTCCCCGGCGCTAGCCACAGGCTAGTAGTGCACCTGCGCCTGCCACTCGTATGCTCAACCCACGGCCGTATTAGCCGTAGGTATCTATCTAATAAACTTACCACCAAGCTTAATCAATTAGCTACAAAGTGCTATAAGCTTAAAAATGTGGGCCGCAGGAATCATCTTTTTGATTAGATAAAGTTCCGCTTTCCTGCCTCCTTGAGTTTACGGCGTAAAATAAGCAGTGCTTTAGGGTGCTAAGGCTGCAGAATTGTCGTGCGCCTGCCGTGCGCCTGCGGTGCAGGTGGCATACGCCAAGGATAGGAGCAATTGACGTACTTAGTACTACAAAAGGCGCCAAATGCACATAGATAGAATCTACACACTCTTTTACACATCCAGAACTTGGTTTTTTTGCTTTTTTGCGTCTTTTCTACGCCCATTTGTGTTAGGCCTTGGTCGTCTAACAAGAATCTTGCCAAGCTGTACCCCATGAAAGTCAGAATACGCACACAGACAGAGAGTGCGTATAGAATAATCTTCTATTCTTCTATTCTTCTACCCCTTTTCTTATTTAAAAAAGTTACATCTAGTATCATGTAAGCAGATTTCATAATTAACATGCGATTTCTCAATACCTCCAGTCCAGTCCTTAAGCACACCTCAGACGCCGCCGCATCAGCTATACTATCTAGCTATATTCCCGTCACTAAAGTAACAGACCTACACCACCAAAGGCTCTTCCACCAATTCTCAGCCATGCAACAGAAGCGTAGTCTCGCCGTTCGGTGTCATTCCTTGAATTTCACCTCTCTGACGCCTCGCAATCCACAGGAGCACTGCTTGGACAATCGCAAACACAGCGTTATCGACGGCTGCCCAACCAACCAGCTGATACCAGGTGACGCAACTCCGCAGTGGTGACATATTCCAGAACTCTGAGGTATCGTCATTCTCAGTGGCCAATAAAGCGCCACAACAGCGAAAACCACAGCCTGGATGGCTAACCCCATGATACTCAGCGCTCCCAGCGACGGCCGAGAGCGAGTTTCTCGTGCCTGTTCAAACAACGAGGCGAAGCCGATGACGGTGACAATCGGGTTGATAAACATGGTGTGCACACCAGAGAAGGTCGCGGAGAACCACCGACGGTCGTGTTCCGAGGAGTCGCCGGGGGCAGGGAGAAATGATTCGAAAACAACAGGAGCGAGGGAGATGAGCAGAAAGGAGATATAGACAGCCAAAACGGTGCGTTTCGGACCGGGGCGCTCTGGTGGGTAGCAGAGACACAGGATGAAACTTCAGGTTGTTAGAAATGGTTAGTGTTCCGTCCTTCAGGTATGGGCTGAGGACGGTTCAGTCACAAGACCTTTAAAGATGTGAACTTACAGTGCTGAGTGGCATATCCAAACAACGCCGAGTTGCCATAAGTTGAGCCAATCACCCACCGTTGGCGTGCTACCCACGATAGTGTCTGATACCTCGACATTGTCCACAATGTAATGTAGGCCAAGGGCACATTGCTCCGTGGCGGCGATGAGGTTGAACAAGACGTAGCTGAGGGAGATTCCAGAGCAATCCCTTCTCCACAGAATGTGATGGTATTGGGGAATGAAGGAGACAAGGCTCAGGAAGAGGAGGATGCTGCCGAGGGTTAGCGTGAGCCGAACTTGGGTGACCGCCAATGCTGCATTTGAGCAAGTGACACTAACGCTCCGATCAAGATGGTTGTGACACTCATTATGTAAGCGCAAGTGCAAGCTGGAGATGATAGAATGTTAGTAGTCTGGAGGGGAGTGGTTGAAAGCTCCCCAACCCTAATCTCTGTCCGTAGAATTCGTTTTATGTTTGCCGAAAGATTGTGGCTTTGACAGCGGTTAGAAACATGAAATTTGATTCCTTTGGATTGTTCGAGGTTCAGCAGGTTGTATTTGCATGGATTCATGGATGTCAGCAAAGATCGCTCTTCATCGCAAGAGTTGGAGGGCTTTCTCTCTGCTGAAACTATGATTTTCATAAAGGCAAAAGGAGGCAATGCAAGGATGAATACTCTCAATGATTCTGTATTGATTACGAAACACATGGACCACGTCTATTCAGAGATTGGTAAGTCACGAGCTGTCCAATTACACTTGGGTCACTTGACTGACCTTCCGCTCAAAGAGCAGGGCACCATAAACATATATCTCTCAATCTCTCAAGCCCTGAATTTGGTCCTGTTCCATTTCCGACTACGGACCACGGAGTTGTTTTGGGCAACGGCGCGACATGCTAGCATTACGTGCGCGGCGACGCTCTTTCGAATGACTGCATTAGCATTCATCTCAAGATGAGCAGTGACCCAGCAGCTGCAGAACCGGTATCATGCCTTGAACAGACATAAGCCACAGATACCTGCAACAGTGATGTACATCAGGGTCAATCGTTATGCCCACGTCGATTCACATCTCTCAAAGCCAATCTGAGCCGGTCTTGTGCTCTTTCTCTAGCGGCTAATATTTCGCTAGGCGTGTAAGGCTTCTCACCAGCAGCATCTTACCTCCTCCACCTATTTCTTAGTAGCGGCATTACGGTCCAGTATGAAATTTCAAGAGTACAGGTCGCACGGAATAACACTACGTTTATGGACCCTAGGGCTTTTTAGGAAGCGCCGTTACTACTTAAGTAGCCAGGTGTTGACCTTCTGAGAGGGCTTATTGGCCGCGTTTAATATGTGTAATCCCTGCGTTTCTGCTGCTTCTAATTGGTCAATTTCCGACGCAATTTCGCTTCTAATTTCGCTGTACGGTACAGCCAATTGTACATAGATCTACGCTCTCTACCCCCGTAGCTATCAATCAACTTGCTTCTCGACGCACTCTGCACAGCAGGTTGACACCAGGCTATCGAAGTGATTTAGGCGGGGCCTACATTATCAGATCACTTAATCCCCCAGTAGAGCATGCAGTGAAACCATCTAGTTAGGACGTCTATGAGTTATGTCGAAGATGATAGCGTACGATAGTCAAATCGTGGTTGTCCTGCTGCCCTAATAAGGTCCCTGGTCTGCAGTAGTTACGTCTCTAGTTACGGCTTTGAATGGCTTTGAATGGTTTTTTCATGCTACCCTTTCTTAAGACGGGTATATACGAATGACAGGATATGGCTGTAAGGTACTTGCATTGCAGCTGGGGAGACTTTCCACACGAAATGTCATCACACACAAAGTTAGTTACAGAGAATCGGTATGAAATGGGAAGCGCTAAATACGACATGGGCACCGATAGAAACCAAGAGAACAATGTGGCCTGTGAATCTGTTGGCTGTTATTTCACATCACTTGAACCATCGGTCGATCGACTCGATCCCTGCCAAAGCTGGCGCTAATTAGAGTCTTATCCAGACTAAAAGTATGTTGTAACCTGCACACTTACTAAGTACATACCTGACCGGGAAGAATCGAGCATGTCTGAATTTGTTCAAATTGCTGCGTTGTCATAAGCCCTGCAGTTTCAGCACATCCACATGTGTCTTCGTCTAAGATCCCTAACCTCTTCAGCGCAAGTACGGGCAGGCTGCAGACCACAGGCAGTCGCTGATGATTGGTTCTGCAACTTTGACTGCCGTACAAAGTCCAAGCTTCCCTGAAGATGCCAGACACCCTCATGCAGACAATTACACCAAAGACTACTGATATATGATCCGCAGAGCCGAGCTGCTCAACGGCGAGAGCCAATCATAAAAGCCGCAAATATGCCTTCCCGGCAAGAGTATTTGCCATTGTGCCAGTACGAATCCGAAGTGTCAGGATAGCCTTTCCTCCTACCACTCGGGTAGCCGTTAGTTAAGATCATTCGTCATGTGCGACGATACTGCAAATGCTTTCGTGCATAGCAGCTCTTGAAGCAGCTTATCAGCTGCTTCAGCTATTTGTAACCAGGTACAACGCTCAGGCACCCAAAGATTCCTTATTTTGTCCTTCTCGGTGAGCAGTGCAAAGTATTCGTACCCTTCGAGAGACTCTATGCAATCAGGGCGACTCTCTACAGCTCGTCCGTGCGTTTGAAGCAAGGAAGGCATAATAAGACATAAATGTACGTACATCTTGACATGAGCCCCTTGTAAACATGACGTCTTCGCCGCCTGTCTTCTGACGATCGATCTGCGCCAACGCAATTCCAGAACTCCACTTCCTTGTGGCAGGCGAATTACTCAAGATAAATTTCGGGGGAACGATGTTTATCCGAGTCCCAAGTTTTTCCACGAGCGGGTCCGAGCTGTTCGGATGGAAGCTCGAAGCGATCGTGGCCTGCTCTGAGCTTGAGTCGCCAGTAGAGTAGCCTATATAAGACTGCTACCAGCGGCCCCAGCTTCGAGCTCGAAGCTCAGTGTTTGTTCCAAAAGGTCTTCTGTTTCGTTCCCCTAAGACTAATCCGGCCTTCAGCTACGTACAGAAGTCGAAAATGGGGAAACTAATAATCACGGAGCTAGCCCTGGTACTTCTCATCTCTATTGGACTCGCAAATCGTCTGCAAGTTGACCTTGATATTCATCTTGGTGATGGTGATACTGTGGGAATTGACGAGAATTCGGGAGCCACTTCCATCCCCGAAGTGGCAGACCTTCCGACTGTGAACCTGCACTATGAGCGCCACAAGGCATCGCCTCCCATCAGGGTAAGAATTGATAAGATCATTACATGCTGGTTGAACCACTCATCATATCTAGTACGGTCAAAACTTTTACAATTTTAGCAACATCCCGTACGCTCAACAGCCAGTCAAAAAGCTTCGCTTCAAAAAAGCTGAACCACTCGAAGGGGTTGATGGCGAACTTCCAGAGAACGACGGCCAGAACACAGTTGTGTGTCCTCAGGAACAAGTCGGTTGGCTCCCATTCGCACAGGAATTTTTAGCAGACTACTTGGAAAGGAACAACGAGCTTGCCGAGAAATGGAGCCATCCGATCACTGCAGAGAATAATTACACTTGGTCCGACGAGCTTCCTCCAGTTCCGAACATGAGCGAAAGCTGTCTGACTCTTGATGTGATGGTTCCGAAACGAGTCTACAATAAACTTGAAAGCGGCGATGACATCCAACCCGGTAGGCTATAGAGCCGTGCTGTATGAACTGTTCAGTCCACTAAACTGTTCTTTAGTTCCGGTCCTAGTCTGGTTTTTTTGGCGGAGGATATATCTTTGGATCTAAACATCTTTTTGGAAGCCCGGCAGGATTATTTCATGAATCAAGATCGGCAGACAATGAGTCGGACTTTATTTTTGTATGTATAGTGCAGAAAGTTGTGGCCCGCTCATGCCCGTCTAACACTCTACTTCCAAGGTCTCGGTCAATTACCGACTCGGCGCCTTTGGCTTCTTAGCGGGCAAGAGCTTCGAAGACGCAGGCGGCTTTGAGAATGCCGGTTTTTCTGATCAAGTTGTTGCTCTGGACTGGGTCCAAAAGAATATTGGCCGTTTTGGCGGTGATCCTGGAGAGGTCACTGTAATGGGACAGTCTGCTGGTGCGAGTTCTATCTTGCACCACCTCGTTTCATATGGTGGGGACGAGAGTCCGCCTGGCTCTTCCAGCCCAGCCTTCAAGCGGGCTATCCTACAGAGTCCCCCATTCTTCCCGAATGTGAAGCGCTCTCAGATGGAAGACACTTACCAAAGCTTCCTCAGGGAAGCAAATGTGAAAGACTTTCAAGAACTTCAAAACGCGAGATCGGAAGACTTGATCCGAGCCAACAGGAAAACTACGTTTGAGTCCCCATACGGCCGGTTCAACTATGGAGCTGTGAAAGATGACAGCTTTGTGGCGGCGCCCCCTGCCTTGCTCCTGAAATATGGTCATTTTTGGTCTGCAAAGGATGTTATGGTCTCATATAACCGTGCCGAAGGGTTGCTCTTTACGCCGCCTTGGCTTCAGACCCAAGATACGCTCCGGAAACATGTCCGAGAAGCATATCCAGGGTTCCCTACACCGGAACTTGATTACGCTATGGAGCTTTATCCTATTGACAAAGAGGCAGCAGCGAAGCAACAGGTTGGGAACGCTTCATGGCTGATAGGCGACCTTGGCGTTGACTGTAATGCATATGCCGTTCGAAATGCATATCCTGGTGCTTTTGAATACCACTTCAACCTGTGGCCAGGTCTCCATGGCCGAGATACCAACTATACTGTAAGCGTTTACGCTCTCATCTCTGCATGCCATTATCATCATATCCATGTCTCCTTTTGACAGCACTTCTCCCTGCATCGCTGTTTGCCGTGTTGATACTTTTCTGGCCGTGGATAACGCTGACCGTCTACGCCTACCAGTTTGGCCCCCAAGACAAGCTCAATGTGAACCAAGCTCAAGGAGCACGAATGCGCCGCTACATCACATCCTTCGTCAAACATGGAGATCCGTCCGTAGCGATATTGAAGGCCGATCCGAGCTTTCATCCCTGGCGTAATGAAAAACAAGCCATGACGTTCGGCGAAGGAAAACCACTCTTCCTCCTCGACGACTTTTACGGCATGCGATCAGATACCCTCAACGCCACGAGATGCGACTTCTGGGGTTATGCTCCGTACTGGGCAGGCCCGGATGATGTGTACAGGAAAGGCATCGTCCAGCAACAGGACGGGGAATGGCATCAAGGATTGTGATGAAAATGGGCAAAAGTTGGTTGCCAAACGAAATAGGGCTTAATTGGAGCCGGAGGGGTTTCACGACAAACGGTGCGCCACCCATCGTTTCAAGAGGAAAGGGCAGTATTGCATCCGAGAGTTTGCCTATGCTAGGAGACGGGAGCTTCTCTCCACACCAACTGTAGCCATTCCTTAGTACCTCTACCTGAAATGCACGAAATTTGACAGGGATATACCACTACTGACAGCTCCTGAGTTGAACAAGCTTTGAGAATTGTAAAAGAAGCTTAACGTTCTACCAAACGACCTGGATTAGACTAACTCTATCTTCTGCCCGGCCTTCGCCGGACCTGGAACCACCTTTCAAACGCTGACTCCCCTTTACTCTTCAGCAAAGGGATCTGCTAGCTCCAAGTAATCCTGATCCCATCGGAAAGGGGCCCACTCTTGTCGAGGGGACGGGGGTGATCTCAAGAGCAGATCCAGATTCGGGGATGAGGGGGGGATACTTCTCGAGCAGCATGTCTCTCACGCCTTCTTTGCTAGTCGAGGCAGTGGTTGGCATCTTCGTCGTGGTGGTGGTCTCTTGTGGCTTGGTGTTCTTGGTGTTGGAGGACATTTTTGAGGGGTTGCAGAGGTGGATGAGATCTATGGAGGGGGTTGGTAATTGACATGTTTTTGAGTGTGGCGGGAGGGAGAACAGAGGAGGCAGTGCAGGCAATCAAGACAAAGGAATAATAACAAAGGGGAATATAATAGCACTTTGTAGCTTTATTGATTGTTCGCCAGGGGTGGTAAGATGGTAGGAAATTGCGCAACCTCGGAACAAATGAAATAAAGCCATTGTGTATCAAAGGCCTTTGTTCCCAGTATATTTGCAGATGCCCTTTTTCTTTCTGACAGACCGAGAGGTTTTGAATGAGTGGACAGAGGGAACATTAGGAACATGGATGTTGGATTCTGCACAGTGGCATTGTACGGTTCCTGGATAGGTAATAGCTAAAGTGAGTCTGCGCGAAGCACACTTGTTGGCAGAATGCACAGAAGCGGTAAATTGTAGTAGTACAGCAAAATGACGAGGAAGAGATGATGGGAATACTGGGAATTATCTCTGCGCTATGCAAGGAAGTATATATCTTGGTACATACGGAAACGGTAACCTCAGTCCTTTCCAGCCCTCTGATAGTGAATTTCCTCTACCGGGAGCTTTCTTCTATCTATTCCAAATCTTTGGGTTGCGGATTGAACACCTTAGCAGGGACCCGAATGAGGGAGGTCACGTTAGACACCAGAGATATATTGGACACCTTTCGTGCCATCAAAGGCGACTATCGTTTATGACTGGAACGTGTCTGTGAACATTAGCCCAAGTTGGTGCTCCACAAACATGATGGCCCAAATTTGGCTTCCAAGCCTCACTGCCAATGTCATCGAGGATCCGCAGCACCTCATAGCTTCAATGATGTTGTCGCTGACATTAATTGAGTGATGAGATGTTCAGTGTGTTGAAGATACGCTTGCACTCCGATGACATAGCAGCTAGACGAAGGATGAAAGCCGCTCGAGCTCATGAAAGAAAAGTCACGTGGCGACGTCTCCACAGATGCGGTATAGCGCTGGTAGGGTTCGTATCATGCTCCTTGTATTCATTGAAATAAGTTCGACAGGCCCTAGTGATAGTAAGGAGGGTTATAGGCAAAACCCCTTTCTTGGCTGTATACTGACGACTTCACCTTGCTCTTGCAAGAACTCACCGTCAATCCAGTTATGGATATAGCATTCCCCAATAAAGATGTAATGATCTTGACGCTTGCTAAGGAGAACAGCAACCGAGCAGTCATGAAGAAGGAATATTCTGTCTTCAACCTGTGCCTTTTCAGATACGAGGCCCGTCCTTACCACTGAAGCATCACCCAACGTCGTTACCCATCGCCTGTTCCAAGTTATAGCTTCTACCTGTTTCAGGAACTCAACCACACAAGAGTTGTTGCAGTTGTTGATTAGCTGTGATATATCGATATGAGATTCGCGACTAAGCTGGAGGCTCCGTTCGCAAGCCTGGCGATACCATGTTGGAGGGCTATGACCTTGAGGACATCGATTTCCAACCAATATACGCCAAAATGATTCTGGAAAGAATTTCGAGATCGGTTTGCAGTCCTCTGGACACAAGGTTTCATTTTCCATTTCAGCTTCGATCGACATATCCTTCCGTGAAATAGGCACAAGTCCACGTGTTGCACAAGCACCGAGTTCAGCTACCATATCAACTTCCATGCTCTAACGATGAGATATGGAGGCGAGAGCCATCTTAACCTTTCTCGACAGAATTTTCTCATCTCCTGAGCCTTCTTACTTCCTGCAGCCCGATATTGTGGTTTCCCAACGGCCCCAATGAGGCTCTCCGCCTGTTGGCGACCATTGACAGACTCTAAGTTTGTCTTAGCCGGGTCTCGGAGCAGTTGCACCCATGTAGGCACATCGGGTACATTGTCTTGAGGAGAAATCTTGGCCCAAGGTCTGCAAATAATATCTAACGATCCAGTGTTGAAAATTGTCAGATAGACAACATCTCGGCAAACATCCGAGAAGTCTTTTGAATAGTCTATAGGCAACGAATCACTATAGTCGTTGGCGTGATACAACGTATCCTTTGCCAATGAATCTAACGCGTACAGGATGTCACGGGTATCCGAGCTATAGAAGTCCGGCAAGATCGCAAGTAATTCCTCAGGCTGAGCATATAGTTCAGGATATTCCTTTTAGCATCCCAAGTGAACAGGCTGTTTGTGGCATATACCAAGCTTTGAGCTGCTCCAGCATGGAGATGCGCCCATTTAAGGGACATCGTCTCAGATTCCGTACGTGAGATGGAATGCTTGAATATCTCATTCCTGTACTTCTCAAAGAATTTCACTGCGTCGGCCAACTTTGACCATGGCACGCATCTGGTACCGCAAACTGTGGTTGCCGATCTTGCAACCCCTAACTCTTGAATTATCCATCTCCGACTGAGTAGGGCCTGCTGGTCAGTGACAAGAGGACATTCCACGAATCAAAACTAGCAGGGTCCTTAACAAGATTTTCGAGGTCCAGAATATTCGAGACTTTATCGACAAACACCATGGCTTGATCACTATCATCGGTTTGCGGTCCGAGCCAGACGCATACTCTTGTTGCCCTGCTGTAAACAAAATGCATATTTCTGACTTGAGCGTTTCGTTCGGTCACGTCGGACTGGGTGATGCAGATTGCATCGAACCACAAAATTCTCATCTTATCACCGTATCGTAAATGCCTCAATGCGGATTAAAGATTTTCAGTCACATCAAGTCTCGTACTAGTTGTCACGATCTTGTAGATCGGACTTGGGCCGCGGACCTTACAAGCTCGCCTGCGTCGCTGAATGCTAATAGGCCGTTCTCAGTCGTAGTTCCCCAGGCGTATGATAAGGCCTCATATTGAAGACCTGGCGGCGGTGATTGCGAATCCACATGTACTAGCTCGCATTTGATAGCTGCGGTGAAATCATAGGCAGGGTGTAGGATCAGGAGGCGAGTTGTGTTAGCTCCATAAAGTGGCGTGTATGTAAATTGAGGAGTTGATATTCCAAGAAGAAATTTTGGCCTTGCCACGAGGCAACTGAATTTGGTGACATTCCGGTTGGTTTGTCCCTTTCTCATTGTCTCAAACCAGTATCAATACAAGAATGTGATCGCTTGTAGACTGTCATACTTGAGATTTGGTTTTCGAAGACAGATAGAAGATGCGTTGTAAGGCGCCAAGCTGTATTAATTGATCAAACCATAGCGCGAGGTCAAACGACCGCTTAAAGACATCCACTTGCCTACGGGGAAAGGGAGCTGAAGGAAAGAAAGCAGCAACATAAGGATCAAAAATTTCGACGAAGCACCAATCTCCATTCACACCGGAAAGCAATCACAAGTAACTTACAGTCAAGAGTTGTGGGCCGCCTTGATATCGAGATGCAAGCTTAGTCGCGAGCTTTGGAATGATTAGTGTTATGGCTTGACCAATTCAGCCTACCTCGTATCCCTCCGCCTAAGCATTGAGTGGGGTCGTGGGTGAGGTAACAGAAAACGTGGCAATTCTGATAGGTCCTTTACAAAATCAGTGAAGCATTTTACATGATGTATCGCAGCAGCACCGACATCTTGTTTTTTTTTGTTGGCCCAGACGCAGCTCTTTCCCACTGTGCCAAATGTTGAATGAGGGTGTTACGGCCATTTTATTTGGAGTAGGTTAATCGTCATCTACTACGTAGAAGTATGTTGATACGAGTCGGATAGATTTCCCCGCTAGTAAGATAACGATTAAAGACCCTTTATTTTTCAGCCTTATTCCGTACTAGTAGTAAGGTGTATCGCGCCAAGCCCTCCTTGGCCTTGCGTCACTGTACTTGAGCTCTGCTTGCTATTCACTTCCAGGCCGCAGCTGACTGTGTACAAAGACATGCTGTTGCAGGATGCACTGAGACGACACATTATCTTTTCCTTCCAGGTCTCCTCTACACCTAGCTCGATACTCTCACAGTCTTAGATCAGTGATACCTGAATTACAAGGATCATCACAATGTTTATGCTCCGGAATGGTGGGTCTTCTCGCATCGTACTAGAACGGTGTGGTTGCACTATAGCTAATAGTGCAAAGTCAGCAAATATCTCTTCGGCGACACATCAAAGGAGGCCGTAATCGAGATCTCACAAGGCCAACTCTACGTTGTCAGACCACTATCACCGAAAGGCTATTCGGAGCTCATCTTCAAAGACGCTGCTGCCAGCATTCGACGCACAGGTCAAGATTTTCAGTATCAACTTGTGGTTCAGAGAGCCTACGAGGAGGGAGAAGAAGAGTTGGCAGACGAGGACGACGAGGACAGCGCAGCTGACAGACTAAGCGGTGACAAGGACGAGAAGATATTTCTCCTGGACCAGAGTCTTCATTTCCGGTCTGAGGTGCGTGAGGAAGGCGAGAAGGTACTTGCTTGGAGAGACCTTAGTGGAGACATTGGTGACCTCTACGAATTTGTGTGCGATTCTTCGGTGCCAGCAGATAAGGTTGCAACATTCGAACTGGCAGCCATTGAATGTCAATACGAGCGCAAGTACCGCAAAAGCGCACAGTCTGCAAGAGAAGAGGAGTTCAGGGAATTCTCATTTGCTGAGGAAGACGCAATACCGAACGCTAGCCCTACTACCAAAGACACTAATTTCGGTCCCACGTCTGCCGACTCTGCTGCACACATGGCCAAGGAGGTCAAATCGTCGAAAAAGAAGGTTGCAAACGTTTCAGCGCCTCGAGGAGCAGCGGCGACCGTGGCTCCTGCCTCTAGACCTGCTCAGTTAGGGGAAATCTTGGCAGAAGAGAATGCGGAGCTGCACCTATTCGATTTCGAAAGCGGCACATTCATTCTTCAAGACAGCTCTGTCACAGCTGCTGTTGTGGAAACCGGCCGATGGCAATACTGGCTGCAAATAAGAGGGAGCAAGAGAGACTGGTTGGGACAAGAGGTGATTGCAGACATCAACCCAGTCTTCAATTACGAATATCTTTCATTTATCTTCAATCATTATGGCCTGGATGGCGCAGCATACTCCTGGTTGTTGCGCTTTAAGGACCAAGAACGACTCGAAAAATTCCAGGAAGGCTTAATGCAGGCACTGTGGGAGCAGCTGAACGAGATGAAGTGGACCAAGATCAAGGACCAAGAAAGAGACTATGTGACGGAAGCATTCAACGATCTGACCATGGATGAGGCTCACCATGAGGACGAAGAAGATGAGCAGGAGGAAGAGGCTGTTGAAGATGAGGACGATGGCCAGAGGAGTGAAAACTACGACACTGACGAATCGGAAGACGATGTGGACGTGCATCCTGATGACGGAAATGTGAATTCCCAACTTGCTGTTGGGTATAAGCACGATAGGTCGTTCGTCGTCAGAGGCTCCAAGATTGGCGTCTTCAAACATACACCCAACAATAATCTGGAGTTCTCAACAAATATCTCGAAGGTTGAAACCCCAAAAGGCAGATTGTTCAGCCCCAAGAAAGTCATGCTACACGCAGAGGACTCAAACATGGTCTTACAGGATGAAGCCAACCCAAACTCACTTTATCGCATGGATTTAGAATATGGGAAAGTCGTCGATGAGTGGAAAATACACGACGACATACCAGTCAATACCTTTGCTCCTGAAACCAAATTCGCGCAGATGTCCGCCGCTCAACCATTCCTCGGACTTTCGCGCAATGCCCTGTACCGGATCGACCCACGTGTCACCGGCAACAAGCTTGTGGAAACTGATCTCAAACAATACGCCTCCAAAAACGACTTCTCCGCAGCCGCCACAACCGAAAAGGGCTACATTGCTGTGGCCTCCAACAAAGGTGACATCCGGCTGTTTGATAGGCTTGGCATCAATGCTAAAACCCATATTCCTGCTCTCGGCGAACCTATTATAGGCGTAGATACCAGTGCTGACGGCCGCTGGATCCTCGCTACATGCCGCACCTACCTTCTGTTAATCGATGCGCTTCAAAAGGATGGCAAGAACGAAGGCAAACTCGGCTTCGAGAAGAGCTTTGCCAAGGAATCAAAACCTCAACCACGACGTCTTGGCCTCCAACCGAGCCATGTAGCTCAATTTCAGCATGAGACCAAAACTCCCATCTCCTTCACGCCTGCCAAATTCAATACCGGCCTTGATGCGAGCGAAACGAGCATCATCACCGCCACTGGACCCTTCATCATAACATGGAATCTGAAGAAAGTCCTAGCGGGACGAAAAGATCCGTATACCATCAAGCGTTACGCCGAAGAGGTCAAGGCCGATAATTTCAAGTACGGCAGCGATAAGAACGTGATAGTGGCGTTGCCGAACGAGGTGAACATGGTGGCGAAGCAGACTTTCAAGAAGCCAACACGAGAGAGTATTGCTGGCCCAGGAGCTCTAAGTACGCCGCGGAGGAGTGCTGGAGCAAGGGTTTCTGGGCTAAGGAAGAGCGAGATCGTGAATAGTCCGTATTGAGGGATGAGAGCAACTTTCCGTCTGTTTTTGCTTGTGCGAGGACATTCGTTGGGCTCGAGCTGCGGTCATGGCTTCTCAGGTAGTGGACTGGCAAATGTGGAGACAAGTTGAAAGGAAAGAGCTGTCAGGCGATAAAGGACTTCATGGTTATGGATACTCACACCACTTGACTTCATTTTCGATTGCGGATACGAATCGCGGATACCCTACCCTTATTAATGGCGTGGCATAGTTACGCTGCTTTCACAATTGGCTGTTGGTGTCCTGAGTTTGGGAATGTAATCGAGCAGTTCAAGCTACCACGGGAGAACATTCGTCCGCCCGAGGGTAGACCTCACGCGGGTGGAATGGATGATAAGCTCTACGTACTCTATCACGCAATACTCGCTATGTCTGGTACCAACCGACTCCCAGCAGAAAAGGCCTTAACACCAGCGCTCCCAGATTCTAGTAGCAATGTCTGATCTAGACAGCCCTTCTGTTCCATGGCAGGACGACCCGATGGGGCTGCTTACTACGTACTACGTACTAGTCCGAAGCACGTGGCAGTTTAAGTGTGGACTGCATGTTTTAAACCAAGACCCTCGGCTGCGTCAAAAGTCAAACGACAAGTTGTCTCTGATAACATTGGATACTCTCAGGCACGATACGAGCTTGGGCCATGACTTCACGATCTGTAGGATTCTCGCCAAGAGACCGATGAGGGAAAAAAATCTCCGAGCGACCGATCGCCTCGATTGGCCCGATGTCAAAGTCTCCCGAAGATCGTGTAAAAACGTCCTCCAGATCGAGCTCTATCTTCACCAACCATGGATTCTAAGAGTCGTTCTGGCCACGGTCTAGAAGTAATGGAGCTCCAAAGGAGATCACGATCAATACCTTGCCATCAATTTCTGTCTGATGTCTCATCGGACGATGCTGTGCATGATTACTACTCCCTTCCCTTGCACTCCACGCTCCATCATAGTAGAAGCAGGTCGATTAGCCAGCATTTGACGACTGAGCCGGCTGTATTTTCCGGGGACCTAGTACGACATTGTATGCGTCGAAGTGGAGGCACCCTTTTCCACATCATGTTTGTCGCATGCCTCGGAATATCTTGAAGTCCCTACGGGACATAGTGAGTGGAAATGGAAGCTTGACGCACCATGACCATTTCCGCACAGCAACTGCCGCAGGGGGCAGAAAACTCTAGCAGTACTCATCATGATTCAGCACTCCCAAGTAAAGATATCTCGAGATATTCTCCGAACCGGTCTATTCCCCTACATTGTGGGACGAAAAGACGACGCCTGAATCACCCCCCACCCATGTCTGAGAGTCGTCAGACGAGCGCGTCAAAGTGGTTTGATACTGTCAATCAAAATGTCAAGCCCAGTATCCAAAGCAACTCTGACGTTGAACGTGAGCACATCCGAAGTCTTGAATGGAAATTGCTTCAATTGACATAGTACAGGTGAACCACCTTTCTACCTGAATCGGCATGACAGCGGTCATACGTCTGCTCAGATGAATACCGCGCCACTGTTCGGAAACGTCCAAACCCAGCTCGCAAAAGAGGACAGCGAGAACGAGGATCTACGCAGTGTGATCGATGACCTAACTATCGAAAACAAAAGATTGAGACAGATGTTGAGAGAGCGTCGTCAGCAGTACGATCCACAACTCGATCACGACAAGCTTTTTGAGGTTCGGACGTGCGGCCTTGCGCTGGAGAAAAAGCGCGAACTTCAGGCCATCTTGCAGAGGTTCGCAGCTACCATCACCGATGTATCCTTTGCATCTTCTAAAATGCCTCGGGACGAATCCGCGTATGAAAAGGCCTCTTCCGATGTTCCAGGGTGCTCAGCTAAGAAAGCTGCGTCCTACCCGCACACTGACTCAGCTTACGCTTCCATGTCAAATTCTGGTCTCACTTCAGTGGGACAGGCAGACAAAACGCAAGCAGAGATGCAACAGATTCGTGGAAGCAAGGACAAAACTGTCAAATCATATCTACAAGATATTCCTGATAGTTTGTTACCAAAACATCCACCAATAATGAGTGAGAAGTCGAAGATGCGGCTGGTCGTGAAGATGCTCGAGCAGCTGTTCACTGGCAAGCATGCAACCCCTGGCGAGCATAGTCAGCCATTGCAACAGCAAATGATTTCGGAGTCTGCAGCCAACGCAGATAGACATTGCTCTGAACTGCTCAAAAGGTACGTCCGGCCGGAGGGAGCCAGGGAAGCTCATATCCTCCCAATCGGGGCGAAGATGCTTCCCAAACAACCAAAGTCGAGCAGCTCGTGTCCGCCACCTCTTGGTTCGAGATCCGAGTCGGAGAAATCCTCTGATGAAAGATCAGCTTCAGATAACCGCTCGCCCGACCAACGCCCTACGAGGCCCCTCGATCTTGACATTCAACGCGCTCAGGTTGCCAAGGAGAACATAGACTATATCCGTCACCTAGGGCTGCCAACTCCAACACGTCAGCATGATTCGGACCATGATTATGATGGTTGGGTATATCTGAACCTTCTCATCAATATGGCTCAACTTCATACGGTAAACGTGACTCCGGCATTTGTCCGAAAGTCGATTGCTCTGTTGAGTACAAAATTCGAATTAAGTAAAGACGGCCGGAAGGTGAGGTGGAGAGGAGCTTGTTCGGGTATAGAGTCATTCGAAGACAGCGACAGTAGCGCAGAGGTGACCACCGGAAGCTCACCTCGGCTTGTCAAGTGCTCAATTACTGATATGGCGGCAAGCGAGAACTCTAATAACCTCCCGTCCACGGGCTCTTCGGGTGACCAGGCCAATGGGGCAAAGAGTAGCTTACCACGTGGGAAGCATCACTTTCCAAATTTTACTGCTCGTGGTACACAGCTACCTGATTTGACAGACGAGTCAAGACAGGAAGCCTCTTTTGACTACAAGCCAGTCTATCTCAAGGATCGTTGTATGACTCAAGAGGACAATAGGCTTTCTGATGATTCAAACGTTACTCCGTCGGCAAAGGGCCTTGATGAGTCAACAGGACGATATTTGAGCGCTGGGAGACATAGAGTCAGCCAAAAGTACTCGGGAAGAACCGATGAAGGTGGCCCTATCATCTATTATAGAAATCCCTCATTCTATTGCGACCTGAGCGGAGACAGGGAAGCGTATCAGAGGAAGGCGACATCAAATTTCCCGGCGTCAGGGCAGATTCTGGGAGTATCCGGAACGAACAGTCATTTGGAGAAAGACTATCAGAGGCGCAGTATGGCCCATGCCGAGGACGCTTTTGAGGGCCGACTAGATGACGACAGTCTGCCTTCACTTGACCTAGCACCATTGTCTGAAGTTGTTCACATGCAAAGCGACTTGTTAGAGTTATCGGCCTGTGGTATAGGTGGCGTCGTTCCGGACGATCATTTTGTTTTTCAAGTTCAACGCAGACGTCAATCAAAACCATCCCACACAACTGCACATTTGCCAGCGAACCTTTGCAGGGGTGGGTTAGAGCCAACTATTGAAGAAGAACTCCTGCCCGCTACACGTATCGACCTACCGGCGTCCAAACTTCCTCCACCATCGTACGTCATCATTTCATTATCATCCGGAAGCTCTGGTGGTATTGAGAGTGACGAATTACTTTCAAGCGAGCAGGATGCTAGCGAGATTGAGGTGTTTGAAGAAGCTCCTTCTGCTCGACCTTCCTTCCTAAAGCGACTTTCTACAGATACTTCAGGTCAACAATGCTTCTCAGACGAGTACGATGGTGAACTAGAGTCCTGTAACTCATCAAGAGTACACGACTCACCTGAGGACAAAGATTCTTACATGCACGTAGACGGGGGAAGTGAAGCCGAGCGTGGCGCCACACTTTGCAGACCACCTAGCGTTCTCAGCAGGAGTCTCATGGCGACAGTTGGTGCTGGTAGTGGCGCCAGCCTTGCGAGCAATCTTAGTACAGTGTCTAGCATGGGTTCAAGCTTAGGGGCCGGGCGAAGACAAGAATAGAGCGTTTGAGGTGGTCAAGGCAGACACAAAGAATAGCCAGGGATGATCGATGGTTGCATGGTAACGTGAGAATCACTGTCGTTACTCATACGGCACGGTTCAACCATAAAGGAATAGAGAACACGACCTATGATTTACGTACTGCTGTAGCCCTCACCCTTCCCCATTGCTCTATGAATCTAGACCTTATGGAACACACAAACATCTAGAGAAGCAAATTAGGGTAAAGAGTCCATCTCTGCCCATTGGACCATCACTTGCCGCACTCTGCATGACAGCCATCCACTTCACACAAAGTGGTACTACTACGTACGTACTCCGTACTCCGCACCATGATGAAATCGTCGATTCAATGTACTGCCAAGGCACTAACTAGTCCGCCTCACCGCCCCAGTGATCAGTACGCCCACTTAGTTCGTGGACTCTATCTTTCATCTTGCTGCTACCCCCTGAAGGAAAATCAATCGTGCACATTGTATCAACAAGGGAAACTGTCTGTTCTAGTTTCTAGGTACGGTCGATTCTGAAATGATATTAGTTGCTTAGAGGTGAGGTTACGATCACTAAGGACCTTGGACTTGACGTGCACTCAGCACTCTTACGGCGCCTGCGCTTGCTCCTCAGATACAACTATGCTATACAATGTCCTTCTTTTGAACGCCTAAAAGCGAGCCTTTCAAATCTCAGTGTATGCCAGCTTCGCTCAAATGCAACGAGAAACGCGGCGTGTGACTCTACCCAACAAAACCACCCATCCAAAAGACTTTTGAGCTCGCTCTATGATGCTGAAGCAGATCTTTAAATGGTGTATTTGAATCCCTCGAGGCCTTCAATCGGCTGCTGCAACGTTCCTCGGGCCAATTTCCTGTTCGCTCGTGTGAAAGCGAAAGTCGTCCCACCAAGGAGCACTAGAACCAGGAGCTGTAAGCCGGCAGTCGCCCAAAGGCCATTCAAGTACCTCGGAGCATCTACCTCCCGGAAAGCTGATGAAGCTATGATGCCACCGATGGCGCCAAAGCCCATTTGCAGTGCGGTGCCAACTGATCTCTTGGACTGGCAGCGGATGTTGTTCGACTGGTATGCCAGGACCGCTGGGATATTGCCCTGGCATCCAGCGCTTCCAAGGAAGATTCCAAGATATCGAATGGTATTGTGCTTGTGGTATGCGGTTATCATAAGCCCCGCGAAGCAGATGATTGCTTGTGCTGCAATCACAGGCGCACGCGTCCGGTATCTATCACCCAGCCATGCAAAGGAGAACGCACTGAAGACTGCGACAAATACTGGAGGCGCCGAGAGAAGGTTTGCAACACCTGCAGAGTAACCCATGCTCTATGACGTTGGTCAGCCCTGCCGCAAACCCAATGCTGAGACTTCAACTTACCCTGACGATGATGGGTGTGAAATATGCAAAAGCATATCTAGATCAAGGTTAGTCATGAAATCATGAAAGAATTTTTAGGTTTGGGGAATAGAAAGCTTACGCTGGCGTAACTGTCGACATAAACATGAGCGCACTAGATATTGTCAGCGATTGATCGAAGGCCCGCTATTCCCACGCAGACTGGGTGCACCTACAACGCCCATAGCTTTAGGTCGAGGAGGTGCTTTCCAAAAACTCTCCATGTCAGAGCATCAGGTACGGCATCTCCTCGATCTTCCTGTATCCGTCTTTCGATGAAGTCGGCGTCATTCTTGGTCAGAAAACCTTTCTTGTGAGCTTTGTCGGGGAAGTCGATGATGATGAACCATGCGGCAATGGCAATGACCTGAATGGCGAAGCCCTCAATAATCTATCTCTGGTTAGGTTTGTTTCGCATGTACGCCTGTTGTGGCTCACAAATATCCATTGCCAACCTCTCATACCACCAATGCCTTCCATCTTCATAAGGCCGAATGCCAGGACATTCGAAATTCCACCAACATTCACGGAGAACAGGTAGAATGCAGCTAGACTAAGTGAGTGTCAGCCTGTTTGTTATCTACGCCAATTCTCCTCTGCATACCGTTTTTGTACTTCATACCTCACATACCAGCAAGAAACTAGATATACACAGCCTGGAAAAAGGCCTTCACAAATCTCAGAACTGCCTAGCTGATCAAAAGACGGAGATGTTCTACCTGCTCCACAGAACCCAAGTATCGCGCGACATACTGCAAGTGCCTGGTAACTGGTGACGAAACCCTGGTAAGGTACACATCAGTACCCAGATGACTTGGGGTGCGAAGACCCTCCAGTATGAAGTATCCATACCTGACCCAGCATGACGGTACCCCAAGCGAAAGCAATGAAGGCTAGCCAATTTGCTGTTCCGACTTTGCAGAGAAGAATATTCGAGGGTAACTGATGTCAATATGTCAGCTATGTGGTTAAGGGAGGAATATAAGGCACATGCAGGCATACCCCGAAAAAGATGTGTGCTATAAAGAAGACGAGCAAAGCAGTGGTGTATCGCGACCCCACGTCCAGACGCAAATCTTCCTCCATGCCGGCAACTCGCGCGTTCGCGACCTTGGGGAGGTTTCAGCGCGGCAAATCCTTCCTCGGGGGGAAGCCATCTTACATTGACTCTGTCCACGAGCGATATGGCGTATAATGCACCCAGTATTGGCAACAACCTCATGTCTATTTTGCGAACCAGAAGTTTCTCCGAGGTGTGGTGTTTCTCGTTGATATAGGATTTAGGCCGCGGAAGAGCTAGTTCATCATGGACGACATCATGCTCGTACAAGTATATTTTATACATGTCGACGGTGCGGTCGATGTCTGTGAGCTGGCGACTGCGATGACACTTTCAAGGAGAGGCACCTATGTAACGCAGCGCAGCCAGCACTCGTTATCAACAACCACGCGTTTCACCCAGACGTTGGCTCTTCAGCTACTTCATCGTCTTACCCAATTTTAACGTCACTGACTATCATCACTACTCATCCGACTCTGCAGCCGTCGGTACCGTACATCAAGGTCACTTCGCGCCTGCACCCAAGCAAGGGGGCAGTGAGATGGCTTTTTGAAGGTCCTTGGTATCCACACGACTACCCTTTCCACCACACGCAATCACCACAAATGAAGACATTGGACCTGCTGAGTTTTGCCTATCCACACCACAGGATATCTGATGAGGGTGTACATCTGCAGATTCCTAGACATCTGTCTGAGAATTTGTTACGGATCCGTAAGAACGCCACTCTCCAGTTTTGGCATGGAAAAATGCATGTCAACCCCGGAAGGTTTTTGCACTAAGGTAATCGCTGTCATGCCGTTGCAGGGCGGCTTCAACTGTACTTGTGGAATCACTCGCGTGATCTGATTTGTGCGGCCCCAACGTTCCCAGTTCAGAGGCAGAATCCCTGAGACATTCGGTGCCTATTCTGATAGTTGATGACGCCAGATTAGGTGAATTACATGCAAAACAAATGCCTCTTCGAGTAGCTGCAATTCAAACTCGCATCTGTCTATCCGGGATGTGGGGAATTGGAAAGGCAAGTCATCAAGCACCAAATTTTTGGTGGCTTTCCCCAGAGTTTCAAAGTCCCGGAGGGGGCTTAGGGCTGGGGTGCAGCAACGGTTTCTCGGCTTTTTTGGTAAGGACTCTGGAGAATTTCCTTTCCCCAGACCCGGCCGGGGCCAGGAGAGGGGAAAAGAACTGACAGGTACGGGGTAGACTATAGTAGTTCGCACCTCCATGTGTAACAGATTTGTCGGCTCACCCTTGGTTTTGCTATATAAAATGGACTAAAGCTAATGCACAGTGACGATCAACCTTACTAGCCTTGTGGGATCTGCGCCCGCTAGAAGCATTCGAACGTCGTTCCAACCATTCCATGCATGCCGATGGTAAATCAAGGACAATAAGGGGAATGCTTTATCCCTTTCGGAAGGGGCCACAACGTATCCGGGTTGTGCACATTCGACGTATTGAAGTGGCTTGGCAACGGGCGATGTGGCTTGATTGCTGGTGGCTGTGTCGTGTGTAGACAGCAACTTCCTTTGAAGGCCGTGAGGCAGGACCTTCAACCACTGATGGCGTATCCGTACTGGGCCATTGTATTACAGATGGCCACAAGGTCAAACACCAATACCCTTGCTGTGACACGTAGCAGAGATGCGAATACGTCGATACGAACCTGGGCTGTGTGCAAGGCATCTTCGTCTTGTCAGGCTTTGTACACGCGTTAAGGTGGGGTCTTCCCCGATCTATTGCACTGAATGTGCACGATATATAAGATCAATGGCAAGAGCTGTTGAATTCATGTTCTCTGCTGTTCAGCAAGTCTATCAACTGAAGCATTTCGATTTCGATTTCGATTTCAATTTCAATTTCAACTTCATACCACCCAAGCTCTTGCTTAGTCATGGCTTCAATGACCCTGAAAGTGATGCTTGCGGGTTTGGCCTTATTTGCCCCTACTAATGCATACAGTCGACGTCGATGCGCCTTCGGCGACAGATGCTGGCCAGATGACTCCACGTGGCAAGCATTCAATGACTCGGTATCAGGCCACCTCATTCGCTCAGCCCCCTCTGCTGCAGTATGCCACCATGAACGCTACGATGCAGGGCTATGCGATACCGCCCAAAGAGAATGGAGGAACAGTCTTTGGAGAACGAATCAGACAGGAGCCTATTCTGCTATCTTGTGGGAACTAGGGCCCGACCAGTGTTTCATCAACACACCACGGGATGCTCCGTGCGATGCCGGATTGGGTACGGTCTTGTCCTCCTGCTTGATTACGGATTGCTAAAGCTTCTTGCAGTGCCTCACTACTCGGTTGCCGTGCAGGGTGTGGAAGATGTCCAAAAGGCTGTCAATTTTGCCCACGACAGAGACCTGTACCTCGTTGTCAAGAACACAGGTCACAGTCAGTAGGTTTGCTCCTGCAAGGCTGGCTGGCGTGCTTGACTAAACACTTCCAGCCTCGGCCGCTCCAGTGGCAGAGGATCCTTCTCCATTTGGACTCATAATCTCAAAGGAAAAGAATGGCATGAGTCATTCGTTCCAGAGGGAGCGCCTGGAGGAACACCAGGGGTGCATGCCGTGACATTGCAGGCAGGTGAACAGTGGCTAGGTAAGATCGAATCTCTGTCGCAGAAAACAGTTTCTCTAACTCAGTCTGGGTTTTGCAGATGTCTACAGAGCAGCCGCCGAACGAAACGTCATCGTCGTGGGAGGTCACGCAAGAACAGTAGGATCAGCTGGTGGTTATCTGACGGGTGGAGGGCATTCCCCTTTTGCCCACTTCTACGGACTGGCTGTGGACAGTAAGTATCTCTGACACTCGGAAGAATGTCAGCTTTGGTTTTGATCTGACAGATAGCAAGATTTGCTCGAGGTTGACCTGGTCACTGCCGATGGTAGCTACCAAACTATCAACGCTTACACAGATCCTGACTATTTCTATGCTCTGAGAGGCGGTGGTGGCAGTGCTTGGGGGGTAAGTACTCTCATCCGACAGGTTCTTCAAGGCAAAACTTACATGGCTATTTTTGCCTGCAGGTCATCACATCGGTCACATACAAAACGCATCCCAACCCGGCCCACATCCAGGTCGGTTTGATGCAATTCAATACCACAGACGAGTCCACACTCCGTACCGTATTCCACCAAGCTCTACAAGCCTTGCCTGCAGTCACCGACGCTGGTTTTACCGGATACGGGATAATGGGTAATGGTAGCTTTGCGGCGCTGTTCCTCCAGCCAAACGCTACTGAAGAAATCTTCAATACCACCTTCGCTCCTTTCTATGAACTCACTAGTCATGCGAACGTAAGTGCTCAGGTGGTAAGCATTCCATTTCCAACATGGATTGACTATTGCAACGCCTTCCTGATGGACCTGAACATCGCCACTAATGTCATCGACATTTCGAGGCTACTTACATCAGACGACCTTTTGGAACGCACCAACAAGCTCGTTGATGTAATCTTCGAGTTTGACGAATTCTCTGCTGGGTTCAATTTCAGTATGTTCTCCCCCTTCGCCCATAGGGTTATGTCAGGTAATGTTGATTTCGACATAGTTGGCAAAGTGAACTCAGCTGAACGCGACAACACGGCTGTGCATCCCACGTGGAAGGATAGTCGTGCACTTTTCAGTCTGGGCACTGACTGGGCTGACGACGCATCCGCAGAAGAGAAACTGAGAAAGAAACTACAGGCCGTCGAGATTAGCAAACGGCTGGGAGATATTGTTGGGCCTGATGGAGGGACTTATGTCAACGAAGCAAATCCGTAAGCCTCTGCATGATTGATACCTTGTGTGGGTCTGACTTGCTCCTCCAGGTATGAGCCTGACTGGCAGAACGTCTTCTGGGGTCCGAAATACGACCGCCTCTTGTCCATCAAAAAGCGCATCGATCCCACGAATCTTTTTGTTTGCAACAGATGTGTGGGTACGGATGTTTTGTTCAAGCCGTGACCAGCACTATGGACCTTCGGGCAGAGCTGCGCGTCTAGCCTTTTCTTCTCTTGGTTGTCTTGATCCAGCTACCTGCATTGGCAGAACTGAAGATATTTGGCCTTTTCCCTAAAACAATATTGTTTGGCTCCCGATTCAGGCAGCGACAGCTGTCAATTTTCTTACCATTTCGATCGCCCCTTTATTGGATTTCCAGACCAAGGAAAGGTGACTTGCCTGTCCTCAGCGGTACCGCTTGCAGATCACGGAACTGCCCTGCTCCTTGCTCTGGGCTGGCTGTGGGTTGAGGTACAGCGATATGAGCAATAGGCAGTACCATCAAACTGGCACTCAATATCTCTAAAGGTATTGAAGAATCTAAAACAAGTTTTTCTATCAGACTATTACAAGCGGTGGCTCTTCAAGACTCTTGCTGAATTAGGAAAGAATACATTCTTGGCAGGAATTTGACGTCCAAAGGGTTTTATCCTTCGATCTGCCCTCTTGCGCAAGATCTCCATCAGAGAACGAGCCAAACCCAACAGACTGTATGTTCTATACTATCCACGAAGAGTACAATGTCAATTACAATGCCAGGTACCTGCCGCTCTCTAATTGAAGCTGAGAACTATGCCGAAGCTTGGCGCGAACTCCCCGTATTTTCTTGGAGGGTGAGGGGAAGCCGGCTGAATCCTTTCCCATCATCCCAAAGACGAACTCGGAGCTCTCCAGGACATGGCCTTCGTACGATTTCTGTCGATGTCGCGGCCGCAAAGTCGGTTCCACCATCTTCGCTTTCCCCCCTAGTTTCTCTATACTCTCAAGCTTCTGCTGACTCGTCTGTCACCCCATGAACTGAATGCATGATATTTGATGGGCCTATCATCAATTGTCCACACTGTCCATCATGGTCTTACGAACACAGACATGCCAGCGGTTAGCAAGAAATTTGTCGAGAAAGCCATCAGATGTACGGCAAGAACCTCCTTCAACCGCGAGAAATGAAAATAAATGGTTGACACTTCTCACTTCCATCCAGGCACAAAATTTCCGTGTTCGAAATTTCTCCTCTACTCTTGGTCGAAATGAGATCAACAAAATCCTCCCGACTGCTGCCGAGGCAATCAGAGACATGAAGTCCAACGCCACACTCCTCGCTGGCGGATTTGGCCTATGTGGCGTGCCTGACACCCTCATCAATCAAGTACACTCCACACCCTCTATCACCGGTTTGACTGCCGTTTCGAATAATGCTGGTGTGGAGGGGGCTGGTCTAGGCCTCCTCCTAGCGAGCAAGCAAATAAAGAGGATGATCGCGAGCTATGTAGGTGAGAACAAGACATTGGAAAGGATGTATCTGAGCGGCGAATTGGAGATGGAGTTGACGCCGCAGGGAACACTGGCTGAGAGGTGTAGGGCAGGTGGTGCTGGCATTCCGGCTTTCTACACACCGGCAGCATTTGGCACCGTGGTACAGACAGGCGACCTACCACTGAGACACAACCCCGATGGAACCGTAGCACAGTACTCACAGCCCAGAGACGTCAAAGTCTTCGATGGGAAGAGCTATGTAATGGAAGAGTCGATTAAAGGGGACTATGCTTTTGTTAAAGCTTGGAAGGCTGACAAGCTTGGAAACTGTCAATTCAGATTCGCGGCTGCAAATTTTAATGGCGCGATGGGAAGGAACGCGAAGATGACGATTGTGGAAGCAGAGAACATTGTGGAGGTGGGTGAAATCGATCCTGCTGCGGTGCATCTGCCGGGTATCTATGTCAAAAGAGTCATTCAGAGCACAGCGAAGAAGAACATCGAAAAGTATACATTTGCGAAAGAGGAGGGCGCAGATATGTCTGCTCTCGGAAAAGGTGATACTGCCTCGAAGAGAGAAAGGATCGTCAAGAGGGCTGCTAAAGAGTTCCAAAACGGCATGTATGCAAATCTTGGTATTGGCATGCCCATGCTTGCACCATCCTTCGTCGATCCATTGGTGGAGGTGCAGCTTCAATCCGAGAACGGAATCCTCGGCCTCGGTCCGTACCCGAAGAAAGGCGAGGAGGATGCCGACCTCATCAACGCAGGCAAAGAGACGGTTACACTCCTGCCCGGCGCATCCTGCTTCGGTTCCGACGAATCTTTTGGGATGATCAGAGCCGGTAGAATCGAACTAACCATGCTTGGCGCGATGCAGGTGTCTGCCAGAGGGGATCTTGCAAACTGGATGTTGCCTGGTAAGATCAAGGGCTTTGGTGGTGCTATGGATCTTGTCAGCAATCCCTCAAAGACGAGAGTGGTTGTGACGATGGAGCACACGGATAAAAAGGGCCGACCGAAGATCTTGAAGCAATGCGAGTTTCCCTTGACCGGGAGAGCCTGTGTGTCAAGGATCATTACTGAATTGGTAGGTTTGGAGCAGACCCTGTTCGCAGCCGGACATCACCGCTGACCGCCTATCCTAGTGTGTCTTCGATGTTGACTTTACCAATGGTCTAACCCTCATTGAGCTCGCTGATGGTGTCACGGTTGACGAGGTTAAGGCCAAGACTGAGGCGCCGTTCAACGTCGCAGATGATGTCCAACCGATGTTATGAAACGGCCCCGCTTTACCGCTGATAGATCGATGAGCAACGAAGCATGGCGTTTGCTTTTGGGAGCATAGATGGCGAGGCTCAGCGCTTGGGCGTTGGTCTTGGGGAAAAGCATTCTACCACGATATTGATTGTTGACATATCATCCCCGAAGACCTTTGGTATAGACGATGATGTTCTGCGTACAGATATTGGAGTGCTTGACATTAGTACATAGAATTACTCCGTAATTTTGACGAATCTGGCAGCGCTTCTTACAGTAGTCCCACTGAATTCAACAAAATTGGTGCCTGGATGACGCGCAGCGGTCCGAACAAACCCCATACGTTCCTAGACCTTTTTCAGGCGCCATTAATCACCACTTCACGTATTCTCATCATGACATTCACAACAATCAACTCGGACAGTCTGGGAGTCGTCGCTGATCGGAAGAGGAAGGCAAGCGAAAGGCATGCTCAATTCGACCTCCGAAGACCAACGTCACTGACAAACACCCGTCTGAACTACATACCACCGTAAATAAAATATACCGCCACTCTGCACCTCTCCCACCTATCTGGCCTGCCCGTCTCGGAGACGACGAACTGGCTATGGCACACAACAGACTTGGTGGCAGCTCTAGGCTAGCTGCCAGACCTCACAATGTCGAGCAGATCACCAAAGCTGCGCAAACATACGAATACAGCGGTTTGGTCCCCTTGCGATATTGGCTACGGACAGCAGCGACCATGCTCAAGGAGGTGAGATGCCTTTCTCATTGCTTGATTCTCTGGACTGACAATGCTGGATAGGCGGAGATCTACGAGCGTGAAGGGGATGACGAACAAGCTTATTTGCTGTTATTCAGACATGCTCATCTTGTCCTCACCAATCTAGCTGTACATCCCGATGCCCCAGCCAGCGAGCTACTCAAAGAGGCGAAGAAAGACGTTCAACACAACTTGGAGAAGTTGGATAAGCTGAATCCCCGAATCAAGAAACGATACGAGAGGTTCCAAGAAATGCTCAGTGAGCGAGAGGCACGGAGACTGGCTCTTCTTGAAGCAGAACAGAGTGAGGTCGAAGGTGATGCCATTTCGTTTCAAGGAGCTCTGGAGTCGGACAACGTGCATCACCTGGAAGGTGGAGAGAACAGGGAGCTTGCCGTTCAGCTTGCTCGGCATGAGATGTCCCGGAGAGCTACAGAAAGAAAAGCCACCAGACAGGCCGGTATATCCCAAGGCGAGGAAAGAGTGGCGAGAGCTGGGAGAGCTGGTCGAGTGTGGGAGATTGCTGATAACCGGGAGCCGGACGATCTAAGCAGACGTCTTCAAGAAGTGAGGGCACAAGTTGAGCGGCCGGGACGAGAGGTCGGGCAGCCATCGCAGCGGAAGGACACCGATAAAACGTACGCATACCCACACATACCGCTCAACCATGCTATGCCAAAGCCAGAGCCAGTGATACCATTCAAGACAGTTCAAGCGCCTGACCTTCCACCAAAATCATCCCTTCGATCTAACATCTCTGCTCCACCCCTCCCAGAAAAGCTCTCTGCAGCAATCACAGACCATTCACCTCCATACGAACCATCCCCAATTGTCCCAGCCAAACACCAAAACCAACAACAAACCCACCCCTTAAAAGCAACCTACACCTTCAAACCCTCCGCCTACCTCGAAAACGGCAATCCCCTCCGAACCCTCTTCCTCCCACCCACCCTACGCTATTCCTTCCTCGCCCTCGCTCGCGCAAACACGGAACGCAACCTCGAAACGTGCGCCTTCCTGGCCGGCACCCTGCTCTCCAACGCGCTCTTCGTGTCGAAACTCATCTTCCCGCGACAGACGGCCACGAGCGACACGTGCGAGATGACGCACGAATCCGACCTGTTCGACTACATCGACAGCTTCGAAGACCTGATGATCCTGGGCTGGATCCACACCCATCCGCGCCAGACCTGCTTCATGAGCAGCCGCGACCTCCACACCCACGCCGGATACCAGATGATGCTGCCGGAGAGCGTGGCGGTCGTGTGTGCGCCGAGCCAGAGACCGAGCCGGCCGAGCGCTTCCGGAGCCATCGGGGGGTTTGGGCATCATCATCATCCTCATCATCATCATCATCATCATCATCATCATCATGATGACGACGGTGACAGGGCAGGCGATTGGGGCGTCTTTCGCCTCACCGACCCGCCTGGAAAGGGCGTCATTCTGGCGTGTGAGAAACCGGGCGTGTTCCATCCGCACGATTGCGCGAATATCTATACCGATGCCTTGAGGCCCGGCCATGTGGTTGAGGCGAGCGGGTTGGAGTTTGAGGTGGTCGATTTGAGGTGAGAGTGTATAGCAGTCCGGGCTGGCTTGCCCTTTGATTCGTTCTCCCAAGTGGAAGCCGGGGAGGGGAAAATGTTGCTGGTTTGGGTTTGGGTTTGGGTTTGGGTTTGAGCCTTGTCACTGGCCTGGGACTGGAGGATGGGAAGTCATGCTGGTAAGGGAGATAACGGAGGTGATGATGTGCAGCCATACCCAACCGCCAGGCCGATGTGATTGTGTGGTGTTATCCCTAAGCTGTGGCTGTGGCTGTGGTGGTAATGCTATCGCTGTCTGGCTCTTCCTTGAAAATATCCCCCAGTTGTAGTGCGCAGTGCACCACCACTACTACAAGAACGACTCGATAGCAGAAGCCTGACCTATTCACCTGCCAGGGTGCTGGATCCGAGTGTTAAAGTTTGGGAAGGGGGCCAGCGTGGAGGGTGGAGGCTGTGCTACGTCATCTCAGCTACTCACTACTGTATCAGCGCTGGCTGGCGTGCCAAACAAGGATGTTCAGCTCTACTAACTACTGTACCTACGTAGAGGAGGCGATTTGGCCTAAGGGGAAGGGAAAGGGGAGGGGGGGAGATCTTCAGCAAGCACCATGGTTGGCAGGCACGTATCTCTGCATGCATATTCGTTATGATGCTTTTTACAGTCTGATCTGCCCTGGTGGTGATGAGTCATGCAGTCAAGAACTGCTAGCTTCTGTATCCCTATTGGGCATATCGATACAGCAGCCCCTTTCTATATCGGGTCGCCGCCTGAGTAACCGCCTTCCCTCTCTTTCTGCCTTCATCCCTCCCGCCCGTCCGTCTATGCAGGGTATATTTTACCGTACCCATCCATCCACCCTTCCGTCCGTCCGTCCGTCCGTCCACCGTCCATCCACGCCTCAAGGCAATTTCTGCCCTGCCGTACAGCCTTGGCCGGTAAACAGCGCACCAAAAGTAGTAAGCGCCCGATTTCAGTTTCAAATCCCGATACCATGAAATCCTTTTTGCCGATATCACTTCAACACACGCGTCGCCTTCAGTATGTCTTCCAAGGACCAGCCTGGCCCGCCCGGCACGACTTCTCTCCACGCATCGTCCGTGACTGTGTCTTCCGGTGGGAGGAGGCTCCAGTTGGGGCTTGGGGTTGATTTGAGCCATTTGAAGTCGTCGATTTGGGACCAGAGATCTGCTGGCGATGCTGGTTTCGATGGCGCGGCTACGTCGGAGGTGGGGTTGGGAGCGGTGTTTGTGGTGTCTTTGAGGGGTTCGTTGGGTGGTGGAGTGGCAGAGGGAATGCGCTGTTTATATAGTTCAGTCGAGACATATTTTCACATGGAATCGATGCTGAGAGGGGGAAAAGGGGGGAATAATGCTCACGTATGTGTCAGGTAGCTGAGCAAAACCTATACCAGAACAGTCTTCGATGATAGGTCGGCTGGAACATGAAAGATACACATCCACATTCTTGCACTCGTGCATGCGAAATTGTCTGCACGTGACCACCATGACGCTATCCTCTACCCCGGTGATATGTGCTGGACCGCTCACGATTCCGCAGACCAGAAGGGACCCCTTGACGTTCTTGACTGTGAGCCCGGCAAAAGGGGCACCGTCTTGGGGGGAAAGAACGGAGATGTCGACTGCGCATGATTTGAGCGAGGTGAGAGAGCATGGTTTCGAGGCATGAGATGCAGAAGACGGGAGGATGATATGAGCATTGGATTCGTGGGTTATCGAGACAGTTGACGAGGTACTGAAGGTAGGACGACGTATAGCTGCTGATCGTGGCCCAGGGCTTGCTTTTTCTTTCATCTCGTTTTCCCACGCGTCTTTCGAGCTCTGATCCACTGCGGTGGGAGGCGGGACGGGTGGTTGAGCAGGGGAAGAGCTTCTTTCTGGCGTCTGCAGGTAGTTCGGTGAGTTCACAAAGGATGACTCGGTAGACGGGGTTTGATATCCAAGTAGGTTTTGACGTTTTTGAGCCGCCAGCTCTACCACATCGGATAGGGAGACGGCGGAGGGATTCTTGCGCGCGGTCTTAAAGGTGAAGGTAGTGCGAGGACCAAAGCTAGCACGGGTCTCATCGAGTTTCTCGCGGAGGCCTTTGATTGCCTGGGCATACCGGTTTGATCAGTGATGGGGCCTTGCGAGGTGTCATTACGACGTGCTAGGGTGTTTGATACCTCTCCATATGTCTTTTGATCGTAGGCTGGCAGGTAGCCTGAGGCGTCGTTGACCTCACTTCCCAATCTGGCTATGCCTGCCACGAGATGGTCGATTGCGTCTCCTCGTTCACCACCAGTTACTGCCATATTACCAAGTCGGCCCATCTGTTCTTGTAGATCTGACACAAACATAGTTAGATGGGCTGCATATTATCACAGAGATCTTGACGAACCGGTGATTTCTTGTTGAAAGTAGCGGAAGAAGCGTTCTTTTTGTGGAATATCACTGGCCCTCCTCGCAGTGGAGGTAGTAGCTTCGGCCATTGTGTACAAGCTACAGTGGTGACAACTGGAGAGAAGAGAAGGTTTGCAACTTGAAAGCCGGATGATGTTCTGGTCTTTGTGGGAAAGGAAGGGACAGGAAGGCAAGGGAAGGGAAGGGAAGGGAATGAAATATCAAGTGGGACGAATGAATGGCAGGTCTGTCGCTGCTCATATCTCCACTCGGCGGACAACAGCCTGATGGATCTAGCCCGGATCTGCCCCGTATCTGCCCCGGCATGCGGAGAATGCCTGCTAGCCTCTGGGCACTTTCAATCAGGGTCCTCCCGTCCCCCGGTCTTCCAGCCCCCCGGCCCAGTTAAAGCCACGAATTCTAAGAGCCCCATCTCAACAAGTCAAGACCACCTTCCTAGTTACTTTATACTTTACTACGTGGAAGGCATCAGTATTCGTAGCATGGCGCTAGTATTCGTCACTCCGAACGCTCTGGATACAGATAGCCCTGTCAATCTTGTACAGTCATCCCTGTTATGTTGGGCAATCAAACAATCAGACTAGTCCCAATTGGACTATTCTGGACACTCTATCCTAACTACAGTAAGAGTCCACGTGACGTAAATTGACATTAAGTTTCTAGCGCTGTGCTACGAATACTTACTACGTATGCCTTCCCCCCTAGTCTTTCAAGCTGGTGGTGGGTACTTGTATATGGCTACGCTTTGCAGGTCTGCCTATTAGCATATCTGGAGTTTAGTCGGGGCATGGAAAGTCGTCTCCCTTGAGGCTCTGCAAGACGACGCTACGTTTCCTCATTCACACCAAGATGAGCTTGGAGAGGCTGTGCTAAATGTAAGCTGCTTCACGGTCCTTTTGGTCCATCGATTGATCCGTCGTCAAATGATGGCGATAAATGGTGAGGAGCCGTAACTCCACCCCTAGCGAGGCATACATGTCCAGTGTCCTGCGCGCGGTTTGAAACCCTTCCGTCATTAACAGGACATGTCGCACCCATGGCCTAATGTTGGCATTTGCAAGTGACCCTATGTGCCATGCCCTCTTTGGTAACTACCCAATCGGTTGGAAAAGTGAGAGTTCATTGCCATCATCAATACAATTTTTTCAAAATTGGCATCCGCCACCACAACCACAGCCTTTTCCGAATTTAAGGGGTGAAGTACATTGATGCGGGTGCCGAGTCCCAAGCAACAACCACAGAATACATTAATAGTCAGTAACGGCGCCGCTCGGCTCTTAAACTAGAGCAGCATTGTCGTGGAGCTCCTTCCGGAGCACCCTAGGAGAGCTTGGATTGAAGATGCAGTTGTCAGGATTGGGAGTATTGTGGAATGTAAACAGCAGGAAATTCAAAAGGGAGGCGACATGTTTTCCACGATGCATAGCCTAGACATTGGTGATAGTGTAGTGACAAGATAGCTTTGATAATAGGAGACGCACTTTTGGAAGGACATACGGATGTGGGCATTTGCCATAGGCGGCAGAGGCGCTGGTCTTAAGTATGTAGTCTAGTGATTTCGGGGTTGTATACGACGAATGCGCAACAGAGAAGGAAGGACAGCGGTGTTGAGGAGGACGATTCTACAGGTCGATTCTACAGGTCGATGCCGTGTCTGGTTAATGGAAGAGAATATGTAGCCACGTTGAAGCTTTTCACGGCAATATTTTTGTAATTGTGCCCCATTCGCTTGGTGATAAGGTGGCTAAGATGGCGAAGATGGCAAATTGACAAAATGACGAGAAGAGATCTGTCTCATTACTGGCTTGCAGACATCTTATGTGAAAGCACTCAAGCCGATCTGAGGGCCCATTCTAGCCACCTTCTTCGGAATAGCAGGTTCTGCGAATAATATACCATAGCGGGAGCTTCTGTAAGGTTAGACAGCTAACGCTATATGATGGATACAAAGAGTGAGGTAAAGATTGGGAAGATGGCTTGCCACAAGTGAGGAGAGAAAGTTAGGAATCGCGTCGCCATGCCCAGCCAAAATTTGTAGCGTGGATGACATTTGACACCGCAGTGTCTTGATGAGAACGCTATCAACATCGTCTCAATCCCCATTAGCTGGTGTGCAGGTCTGGCACCCTAAAAGTTCTGAATTTCTGCCATCTTGCATGCCACCCTCAGCCGGGCGAGTGGGCAAGTCTGCATCTTCTGTCGCAAAGCAACTGCGCAAGTCACTATCAAGCATCTTAGATGTTCGTCAAGAGAAAACCAGAATCAATATTATCAGCCCCTCACTCTGTGGTAACGAAATGACAGGATCCTTCACCTGTTGCCTGCAACTAACTGGGTCTCATAGAGGATGCGATTCGAAGGCTTAGGCCATCTCTGCCGGCGGCCAGACCCCTCGATATCATCGACATTAATCCAGGAGTCTGCCTTTGGTCCTCCAGAATACACCTTGCCCTGAAACCACGTTGTCACATTCTTGTCGAACCCGACAAAGATGCCTACAAGGACTATGTTGATCCACTCCTACAACAGCCAGGCTCCAGATATCGACATGTACCAGTGCTATCAGACCTCTTTGGGACCAATCTTCTTCCAGACCAGACACCCGTGACTTCAGCCGACCATGACAAAGGAAAAACGAACGATTCTCTTCTGATCCTGGCAAACCTGACAAGTGGGAAAGCATTCAAATCAAGATCTGATGGTCCACCTAGTGCCAGCATGATACCCCAGTACATAGGTGGGATACTGAATCAGGAGAATTCTATTCATCATTACGGCTTGGTGAGAATGCTTGCCTGGCTACCCGATGATGAAAAGGCTTCGTATCTACCGAGGACAATCACGGAGCGAAAGAAGTACTCTGTGAGACTAGATCTGGTGACTCGACTCAGCGAGATCGCCGGAGCTGCTCCTGATGATGTCCCTTCCTCTCAAGCACGGCGACAGCACGACTTGACTCTCCAAGGCTTGCAGCTTGTTGCTCAGCGAGCGAAGGCATCCGGCGTTTGGCACCCTGATAGTCGTCGGCCTCCAGCACCTACCCCTACTTGGTATGAAATCCCTCTGGTGTCCGATGCACTTGATCAACTGCGTGAACTGCCACACAAATTCCCATGGCAGAAAGAGTTGTTGACTGTTCATGACACGTGGCGGAGGCCCCTGCCAAAGGTCAATAAACATGCCTCGGAAGCAAGCAGACCAATAGGCAGACCACCAAGCGACGAGCCCGAGAGTTTGCGGTTGCTTCGAACCAAATTTCTGACTGTTCGGAAGACCAAGGCCGTTGCACAGCAGTGGGCCGACCGGCAGATCGAACTTGACAGGAGCCGAATCGATGCGCATAGAGCACGCCAATCACCAGCAGTACTTGCGGCCACGGAGAAAGATATACAACAAAAAGAAGCCACCTTATGGGCTGAGATGGCTAAAGGAAGGAAAGATTTGGCTCTAGTGGCGAAGAGATATGTCGACGACCGTCGTGGTTTCGAACAGCAACCTCCTCTCCTGCAGTGGGACCGCCGAACGGCAGAGCCTCTACTGGTAAAAGACGAGGAGTTCTACCCATCCCAAAAACTGGCGCTTCTCGATTTTCAGCCCGTGCCTGACGTGCTTGAGAGATTGAATGATTTCGACAAGCGAACATGCTTTGACTACTTGTGCAATATCCTCTTCCGCAACCTTGCTCAACCTGTGCATGCCCATTTGGAAGCAATTGCACAGGGAGGTCTGGATGAGTTCGTCGAAAGGGTTCCTGATCTCACCAATCCACTGAAGGGCGGTCATCCCAATCTCCATGACCTACGCGTTCGCACGCTCCCAACAGGACTTCTCGTGCAGCTGGCGCTTGCCTTGGAGACATGGCCATTTCGATTGCAAACCCACGAGATGATCATGCACACTAGTCGGAGATTTGCACAACGTGCTGCTTGAGGTTGAGCGAGGCTGCTCACTACAAAACTTCCAAGATATCCTCCATCTCACGACATCAGTAATTCAATCATCAAACTAGAGGTGCTCACCACATGAACCGTCTCTACATTTCGCTCGCCCTTACAAAGCGCAGTGGATACCTCTCCACAGCGACAGTCTAATCGTCGTACCCATCACCAGTCCGTCTGCTCATCAACTATAATTATCATCCTTGATCAGCAGCCTTTATCACAGCTTGAGCGGTGAGCATCCTGCCCACGACCAGCTGGCAAAGTCTTCCCTCCTTGGAGCATTTCCACAAAACTCTTCCTATGAATGCAGAACCGACCACTGGCACCTCTCTCTGACTCCACACCGGTCGTGAAAGCCATCCTGTCGCCATTATTACTTCCGGGCTGTAGGGGACCATGCGGGGTTTTGAGAAGCAATCAGCTGGGACACAGTGCGAGTGGTAGGCTATGGATATTGCATGACATTACTAGCGCAGCGAATATAGAGACCGGGTCATGCGTGCAGGCAATGAGGGAAACACTTAGAATGGCTTGCTGTAGATGCTCTAATTACAGACAGATTGTACTCTCTTCGACTTATTCACTGTCTGGGATTTCGTGATATGTATGCATTGTGCTCCGTTCACCTGATTCCCCATCCGGGATCGAGTCAAGTATACGTAAATACCGAACGTCGTAGGGCACGGCACGGTATGGTATGTACGCATCCATCCACCCACGTGAAGCTACCTACCCATAGTCACGATTACTCAACAATGCGCTCTGACCTTCCCTCCACCCCGTCACTTCCTTCCTTCCCTTCTATCCTCCTGCCCCTTTCCTTCCACAAGAACATGACAACTGGTCGGGTGAACCGCTCAGCACCACTTCCATGAGGACTCGTGACGTTGTTCGGTCTCTATGATCGTACCTTCTCCGACTTCTGTGACTTCTTACTCGAATGACTAGCTACCCAGCTGGCTCCGGAGCCTTCTCGCTTGCTCGCTAGCCTCGATGACGGTGCTTCGTTTTTTTGCTTGTGCCCTGGCAGCCCGGTCCGGTCCAGTCCAGTCAAGCGACGTCGTTCGGTGTCCGCTTGTCTGCTATGGCTATCGTGGTTGTGGAGGAGGAGGAGGAGGAGGAGGTAGTGGTGATCACCATGTAGATAGATGGACAGGACGGGGCGGGCGAAGGGGAATTTCCGATCCAGGTCGCTGGGTGGGATAGCATAGCGTGGTTGCGGGAGAGAGGTTATGATAGCTAGCTGGTCAGCTGGATTTCGCTGTGCAGGATTTATCCTATCTCAAAAGGGATTCGGTCTTCCTTGTGGGTCAGTTGCGTGATATTATGAACGTCTGACGAGAAAATTGGTGGGTTGATGCGATGACTGTTGTGCCCTCTTCAGCCTATATCGAGTTTCTGCAAGAAACAAGCTTGATGTTATCTCCCAGAGTATACAACAACCCATTCCTCAGACAAATGCCGTTCCAGCAAGCCCTCAGCCCGCCGCATCCGGGGCAACTAAACTGAGCATCCCCATCGCCATGCAAGCCTGCTGCGCCTTCTCCACTTCCTCCCTCACTCGCTTATGCAACTTCTCCACTCGAGCCTCTAGAATGACACTCTGGTCTAGATGCCTGGAGTACAGATCCATGATATTCATCGCCACCTCGACACATATTGGCACGAAAGATGTCTGGCTGATATTCTTGTAGAGCCAGCGCATGATGGGCTGGAGGGTATTTTCGTCGCGCTTCTCGAGAGCGGCGCGGAGAGCAGAGCGGTACCGGAGCGTAGTTAGGAGGTTGATTATGGTCATGGTGTTGCCGCCATCGAGTGCTTGATCGAGGGCTTCGCGGTACCGGCCTTTATGCAGGAGGTGCTCCCACTCTTTCGGTTTCTTCCTCTTACTGCGATCATTGCCTTCGATGATGATGTCAGCGCCTTCACCTGTAAAGTCTCGGCCTCGAAAGCGTTTCTCCCAGCCGCGAGGGCGCTTCTTGGCGATTTTGCGGTCGTGCTCCTCGATTGTGCCGGCGAGGAGGGCCTCCATTTCTTTTCGGCGTTCGCGCTCTTTGACTTTCTGCTCGCCTGATAGACGGGTTTTGATGGAGAGGAGACCAGATGCCATGCCGACCGCTATATGTTTGTCTTCTTGCGCCGGGCCGGAATTGATGATGGCCAAGGAGAGGATAGGAGAGGGATATTTGGAGCCAGCTACGACGTTCCAGCCAGTGGTTTCGAATATCTTCATGTGGCCGTCCAGACCACCAGAGACAATGCGCGAGCCATTGGACGCGTGGGAAAGTGCTGTAACTGTTTTCTGGTGGTTTTTGATGACGTGAAGCGGCTTCATAGCGATAATGTCGAGTACTGTAATGTGATTCTCTGCTGCTGCGAGGATAGTAGTACCGGAAGGCATTGGAAGGACTGTCTCAACGGCGCCGGTATGCTTAAACGTCATGACAGCTCTCTCGCTTGCTCTTGGATCCCATAATCTGACCGTCTGGTCATAACTGCCTGAAACAAGAAGGTTGCTGCCATTTTCTGGCATGAAGGCACCACTTCTTACGTAGTCTTGATGGCCGAGGAATGTGGTGGCACTCTCGGAGCTGGGTAGGTCCCACAGTCGTACAGTTTTATCGTCAGAAGCACTCATCAAGGTTGTGGTATCTCGGGGATGCCATTTCGTGCTCCAGACCGGTTGTTTATGCTCTTTCCAAGTCTTCAAGATTGCACGGCTGTTTACATCGAAGATCTGTATCGCCCCTGTCTCATCTCCTGCCACAACAACTCGTCCATCGTATCTGATCTCCCCACTATGGGCAGTGTCGTCGAAGCGAGTTATGGTCTTGAGCAGTTTTCGCGTGCGATGGGAATAAATCTGCAGTCGTGCCCCGGTCGTAACAGCAAAAGTGTCTGGTGATGCCTGAAGGGGGTTGGGATGAGGAGTAGGCTGTGCAATATGCGTTACCGCATGTGAGGTGGGCGATATCAAATTGAGTGGGGATCTGAAGGTGCGCCAGTATGTCTGCTCAGGACTGCGTGAGGAAGGTTTTGCTGGAAATGTGACCTGCGCTACTGGCTGAACTTCAGCTGCCATCTCAGCACAGTAGGTAGCACCTACACGCAGCTCATCGACACTGCATATCACTCTCTGCTTTGATGCTGATTTTCAAAAACTGATCCAGCAAAAAGTATTTAGAGTTATTGCGGCCTCGGTTAGACTCACTGCTAAGCTAGCTAACTTGAGCGCAGGCAAACTTAAAGTGCACCAGCGCCAAGTTGTGTGGTGTCGCAGAAGCTACTAGTACTACTACACTACTAGTAGTACTTCATTGTCTCAGTGGGTCAGACTACCTAGCCAGGTTCAGCGATAAAAATAAACTGTGTATAAACTGCATATAAACTGTTGAGATGTATCAAAACAGTTGAATCATCCAACCATACTGGGGCTGTTGATTTTGACTTTTGTTGATTTCTACCAACTGTCATTTTCATTTTCAACTGTTTGCTTATCCAACTGTAAAAAAGCTAAAAACGGTTGGAATTGCATAACAGTTGAAAACGAAAATGACGGTTGATATTTGGTTGATAAACGGTTGGCAAACGCGACATTTAGAGTAACTATTCTAGATTCATAGTAGGGAATGCATGAATGCTTCATTGGACTTTCGACCGAGGCCCATCAGGAAAATTGGTGTCACTCTTGGCATAACTTTTGATGACAGATTAATTGGTACTGGCACTGTATCATTTTGTCGGTTATACTTCTCATCTATTTCATCACATAGGGCGGTGCCAAGAACGACACCAGTTGTTTTCCACGGGCAGTGGTGCCCTTACCGGGTCGATCCTGATTCGGGCCGAAGCTCCGTGCCAAAATTCTGTGCAGTTAAGGATTCTGCATTTCTACCCTACTCCCTCTAATAGGGTATAGCCTTCCCAAAACGCTCTTGCAAACAAGTTACTCTATCTGGCATGGTAGAGATAGCATTATTGATCTCCTCCAGGGTGATTTTATCCTATTCCTCCTGGATAGCCACCTTCAGCGCCTCAGTTTGAAAGATCACCCCCTGATTCTTCAAACGCTGCTTAATAATGCGCCAGATGGTCTTAATAGGGTTAAGATCTGGCGAATTGGAAGGCTGAGCTTGCCATTTGATGTTAAGCTTGATCTTTGCTTGCTTAACTTTATTATTAGCAACACCCTTTGTGCTATGTGGTCTATCATTATCTTCGATCAGAATAAGATTTTCATCTTATTCTAGAGCAACAACTTCCTCTAAAATCTTGATATAATCAGCTTGGATAAGCCGCCCGCCTTTCTTTGTGCCTGTATAAAAGTAGAGAGTGCCCTTGAAGTTCTAACTAATAGTTACATAGACATGGATAGTCTGGTTTTTACGTTTAAGTTTATATTAGATTTTTAAGAGCTTTTCCTGATTCTTCTGGCCACAGCGACGATGAATAAGGGCCTGCTGTTGAAGGCCAGTAGCAAAATGCGACTCATCACACTAATAATGCTTTTTAAAGTCTTCTTAGTTGTAATAGCGGTGCTTAAATGCCTAGAGATTGCGTGCTTCAACTGAGTATGCTGGCAGCCATTTCTTCTGTAATGCGTGATAGGTTCCCACATCAGAATCAGCTATATTTCTTTGAATAGCACGCTCAGATCTATTTGTTAGACTAATGTCCTTTGCTATTCTATAATGACTTGAAGCAGCAAAGGAGAAATTCGCATCTTCAACAGCTTCGATTGCTGCGCATTGATGATCCTCTAAAATTCGCTTTCGACCCCTATTATGAACGCCAGGGCCACGGCGTATAGTTCCTTGCTTTAGGATCTTGTAGCCTGTTCTCTCAGCTATATTGTGTATCTTGAATAGCTCTTTCCGAGGCATTTTGCCTGCGTACGCGCGTGCGTCAGCAAGGAGCTTTGTACGCCGCGGAGTATCGAGAATAGTTTGAGGGGCCCTGGGGGCCTGGGGAGAGGGAGGATTCGAGCAAACGCTGTCTGCAGCAGCGCGCCGGCGACGGGGGAGCTCTGTGGCCATTTTGGAGTTGATTCTGACCTGTGGTGGTGGAGTTGTTAGTAGTTGAAGTTTTGATGGGTAGAAATGCAGGATCCTTAACTGCACAGAAATTTGGCACGGAGCTTCGGGCCGTCGTTTATCCATAACTTCAGGTACCTAACGAGTAGTAGCGGCAAGAACTTGATCCAAGCCATTCTGACATGGACACAACAACCCAACCAGCAGAGCCTGGCAGATGCGACAGTCAGATGCAACTTCCTCTGTAATAATGACAGCCTTACCCCAGGAGCGTCTGACGACCGGTCTCTTCCGCTGCTATTTGATGCTTCATCCCCTTCCGTCGCCAGCTTCATCCTTCACGTTAAGTCGGGGTAACTGCACCTCGAATCTCACAGGACTCAGAGGTAAGATGTGAGCACGCAAAACAGAGCTGAGGATGCGAGCATGATATGTCAATGATGGCCAAACTCATAGCATATATTTGAAGAGATGGGCAAATGGACAGGATAGGTAAATGGTGGCGAGTTAGACATGACGCAGAGAGCTGGATCAACCATCTGAGCCAGCTCACATGGCTACATTAGAGTAAGAACATTTCATTCTGAATTTACTGTCTTTCAATGGAAAGGATATACGTTATCAACCATAAGTCTTGGGGAAATTGGTCACGACTGCCCTCATCTCTGTGTAACAAGTCCAGATTTGTCCGTTTGAAGCCTGTGTGCCCATCCCTGCCCGGCAAATTGTAGAATCAGTTGGTGGAATTTGGTTGCGGAGTTCGGTTCCGAAGATCGAGGAAAACATCCCCATTATCAATGACGATTTCAACCCTACAGCTACCTGTTCGAGCACTGATCTGATAGCCTCGAATGACGTTCTTTTCCATTTAAGTTCAAGCCTATCGACATACAGAGCACTACCAATACTCATACCGGGAGCATTTGAGGCTGAGTTGAACTCGGCAGTGCTTAATTAGCGTTTCAGGAAGGCTGAATTTGGGCTTGGAAAGGAAGCGGCTGAAGTCTTGATAGGCTCAAATGCTCCTGTGATGCAGCGACCACCTCTATGACAGCAACTACTTAGCGGGCGCGGTATGCATTCACTCATTTAGTATGACTGCTGAGGTGCACGAACAGTTCATGAGAGCCGCTTGAAGCCCGTCCAGCTAGCTACTTGCTAAGCCTCTCGAATCATGTATGATGAACGATGGTACTCCGTACGGAATATGAACGTTATTAAGTTATTATCTTGACGTTCCCAGGGCCGCAATTTTGCCCCAAGCTATGTGATAAACTACTGGCCCCCATTATTTGATAGGTCTACATCCTCAACACATAGAAAGCCTAATCCGTGGAGCGCAAGGCTCTACATATCTGGCTTTGCAGCTCATAGCTCAGTCCACATACCATGGTAGCCGCCCTAGATACACCGGTCTTGCTGCCTTGATATCTGTTTTCTTCCGTGGTGTGGTCAGTCACCCTTCAAAAATTGATGGATCTTATGCATACGTTTGTTGAGCTTACGTCTGTCTGAATCACTACCAAAATGACTTACAATTAGGGATAGTGTTCCACTGACCAAACTCTCAATCGCATATCCCTGCGTGACTGCCGGAGAAGCTGAACACACCCGTGGCGCCACGACTCAATTATTGTCGACAGCATCAGTATGGATCCATCGACCAAATGGTCCACAAGACGGTGGCGAAGGGTCGGCTGGCCGGTCGGGGCTTTGGGCTCGGCCATGATGGCTACTCTTGTCTTTCTTATCAACCTGACTATCTTGATATGGATCTCATCGACACTGAAGTTCGAACGGGGAGTTGCTCAAGTATTCACTGGTGACTGTCGTCAAGCAGAGCAGATCAATACGTGGGCCCATTTTGGTATTAATGTTGTAAGCACTCTGCTCTTGGGTGGGAGCAATTACTGCATGCAGATCCTCTCGGCGCCTACCCGGAAAGAAATTGACACAGCTCATGCGAAAAAGAAGTGGCTCGATATTGGCGTCTCAAGTGTACGAAACCTCAGGAATGTTTCGACACGGAAGGTAGTGATGTGGTGGTGGCTGGGTCTGAGTTCCCTGCCCTTACATCTCCTATATAACTCGGTTGTCTTCGCGTCGCTCTCAACAAACGAGTACGATATAGTCCTTGCAAGCGAAGCATTTTTAAACGGTGGATCTCTATCTGCCTACCACGAGGCATGGATTCCGGAGCTCAAGGACATCCAAAATCGAGCAAGATACTGGGATCACCTTGAACCAGCTGAATGCATTAATGCGTACACCGCCAAATATCTTAATACTAGAAGGAACCTAGTGGTTGTGGTCACGGACAGCAGAAGCAGCAAGAACACCTCAGTCCAACAGATTTTGCATCAGTCTTTCCATGATTCGCTCGAGGTCAGAGCCCATGCTGGGAGCCGGAACTTCCCCGAGTGGAATATCAATTACTGCCTGAGCGAGCAAGTTGCTGGGAAGTGCCGCGTGAATTTTATTTTATCCATCATGATCGTTGTGATGATATGCAACGCGGGGAAAGCTCTAGTCATGTTCCACATTGCCTTCTGTCTCAAAGATAGTTCTTTAATCACGATTGGGGATGCCGTTGATTCATTCTCAAACAACCGCGATCAGACAACCAGGGAGATGTGCTTGAGCAGCAAGGAGAGCATCAGGGCTGGCGAAAGTCAAGGATGTGAATCCAAAATAGCCAGCTATTATGAGGCCGCCATCACTGGCTACGACGCAGTCACGGGCATCCAGGTACAGAAGGTGGGATTTTCAAGAACCTGGAAAGCAGGCCCGGTCAAGTACGAACCAAGGGTGAAAGGATGGTTCAGTGCTGTCAGTCGTGGGAGAGGTGTTGCATGCCTCGTTTTGTACGTCATGCATGTTACTATCACTCTCTCGACAATCGTAAGCTAACCTTCCCAGGTTCTTTTGCTGCATGGTCACAGTCATCATCTGCCTGATATTCAGCATTAAGGCGACAGATTCCAACTACGGCCTCAATAGAACAGCTCTTGACTATATCCATCTTGGCATCGGCGCTGTGACTCCAACTACCGTGATCACCGGATGGGACATAACCTCCATCGTCGGAAACGCCGTCATAGCCAGCGTCCTGATCGCCAACATCCCGCAATCCATCCTGTCATTGCTCTACTTCCTCTTCAATGGCGTCTTCACCAGCATGCTGCTCACGGACGAATGGTCCGACTACGCTCACAAACGCAAACCCCTGCGCGTCTCGGATCCCAAACCAGGCCAGCGATCCACCTACTTCCTCCAGCTGCCCTATCGCTATGCTGTACCCTTCCTCATCCTCTCCGGCATTCTTCACTGGTCCGTCAGCCAGTCAATCTTCCTTGCTCAGGTTGCGTCGTACTCGAAAACAGGTGAACTAATCGACCCCGCTGCGGTATCAACCTGTGGCTACTCGCCATTCGGAATCGCACTAACCTTGATCGGCGGAACCTGCTTAGCGCTGTCCACAGTCATCTTGAGTGCCCGCCGCCATAAGCCTGGGATCCCGCTGGCGGGGAGCTGCAGTGCGGCGATATCGGCTGCTTGTCATGGGGGCGAGGATGTTGACACGACGGCACCGCTGCAGTGGGGTGTTACTTCGCCAAAAGGAGAGAAGGTTGGTCATTGCGCGTTTTCGGATAAGGATGTGAGAAGGGCAAGAGCAGGGAAGCTGTATGCTGGGGTGGTGAAGACGGATTGACAGTAGGATTTTGGTGGATGCTGTTTCAACACTCAGAACTACTACGGTAAGAGGCATAAGTATTGTAGGTTAGAGTTAGTAGCGGCTAGTACTTGGTACCACGTCATTATTGTTCCTCCACATAGAAAAAGGTGCTTGATTTCCTAGTTACGAGTAGCTACAACACTTATATAGCTCGTAGTATCACAGTAGCATCACGTACCAGTGGCAGTGACTAGGCAGCCAAGCACTATCACGTGGAATGCCAGGCTTTAACCAAATTATTCAAAAAGTCAGCGAATGTTCTTCATTCTATTTTTAAGCATTAGCCGTTCAGACTCTTGTACGGAGTACTCCGTGCGAAGACCTTTTTTAGTGAATGCGGTTAGACCGCTCACGAAGACTTAGTTGTCGTTTTAGGTCGGGGCTAAGAAGAGGCTGAAATTTGAGACAAGTTACTTCATAAGTAACAGTAGTATGAGACGACAAGTCCTCCAAAGCCACAATCTTCTGCTAAGAAAAGATCCCTCGTTTTACCACAAGATATGTCTCTATCCCTGGATCCCGTAACGCCTCACCTCAACCGTCTCCTCGATTCAAGGTCATTCCCCAAGACAATCTGTCCATCAGAGGCAGCACGTGCTCTCTCTGCTGCCGAGCTCCAGCGAGCAGGCGTTACGAGTTGGAGGGATCTAATGCCGGCCATGCGAGAGCGTGCTTTCGAACTGAGGGATGAGGGTGTACTTGAGATCCTACAGAAGGGAGAGGTTCTGCCTGCGTCACAAACAATGCAGCAAACAGTCGGACCGATTCGGCTTCGAAGGAAAGTTGGGTAAGACGGGTACTTGCGTATTCTGATTAGTTGACGGGGAATAGTCAAGCCGGGATGTTGAGAAGAATCAGATATTAGAGACCGACTCATAATACTAGATATCTGCATAAAGGAGTGTTTGATTGGTACATAATCGCTAAAACTTGCATGTCATGTAGTATACCATAACATATGTTCCACAACATTTTCAGCGTCATTCCATCGCCTTACCACCCCTCATATTCCTCGTGTTCATCATGATCATTATTACCTGCTTTCGCTCTGCTACGTCAATGCCTGGATCTTCAGCATTGCCCTATACTGTAATAAAAAGAATAGAAGCAGAGAACAGTACATCATTCTTACCTAGCAACCACTTTTCTCATGTCGAATCGTCCGCGGGCCAGCTATTTAGCGTCTTCTTCAGCAGCCCTAGCGTAACTTGCAATTGTTATCTAGACAAGAAATCCGTTGGATTGAAGGATTCCTACCTTCCGTAGCTGCCATACTTCCCGTAGCCCGGCGGCGGCGATGGGGTTGGTGTAGGAGATGGTGGTGGGTACGCTCCTATCTTCCCGTCAAAATGGTTTCGAACACTCTGATCCGAAGTGCTCACCATATGCGCCATATGCTCCGTAGTTGCCATAGTTCCCATAGTCTGCTGCGTCTCGTTTTTTGACCGCCCCATCTCTTGCAACAGGTGAGGCTACAACAGCAGAGATGGAGAGCAAAGCCAGAAAGGCTAGCACTTTTGGCGAGAGCACCATGGTGTTACCTTGGATAGATCAAGCACCTTTGAAGCGTAAATGAAGATATATGAAGAGCAGGAGCCGGATGAAGAAGAGACGGAAGGAGGAGAAAAGCTTCAGTACTATGAGTCGGGATCGCAGAAGATGTCATTCAGTTCAGGAAAGCTAAAGGGTGGTGGGCATGAGCTCGGTAAAGTCGTCCAAGGAAAGTACTGGATATGGCACTGAAACCTAGGATAGGTCACCTTTGAGGACAAGATGCCAATAGCGGCTCTTCCTCATCCGAGACATTCAACGCCAACTAAGCCTGGTACGGTTCCTCGCGAATGATTTAATTTGCTCCGACCTATTTCGTGGCGTTACGATTCATGAAAGCAAAGCCTCATGATTTTGTGAGATGTAACGGAGACACCCTTGTAACCATTGCTGCTCGTCATGAGGCCCGCCATAAGATCGGTGCAAACCCTCAATAGCTTCATATAGCATTTGAAGGACATGCATTTCCAGGAAACTATAGTAGCATGTGGACACGGCTTTGGTTCGATATCCGACCATGAGCTAGTAGTTTCCGGTCCTCATGTTGATGCCAAGCGCAGAAGCTTTAGTGGGGTACAGTACTAGTCGTAGTACTTGGATGAACGGCTGCGTGATGGTTGGACGAACAACACGAGCCTGAAGTCTCCTCTGAGGTGGACAATCCTTCTGGGCTCGCAAAGCCCTGCAATCGTACTGACAAGACAAATGAGGGGTAAATTCGCTGAACAGATAGTACATGTTACTTCGCAGAGGGCGTGTCACGGCTGATCTGAGGGGTAGCATAATGAGTCGACGTAGCATTGCTCGTATTGATATCGTATAAGATGCAGGATAATGTTGTAGCTCGATTATCTGCCCATCTTCACATGCTACCCTATGTATGTGACAGAATGCATGGCCCGGTAAACATCTGAGTGGTGAAGTATCACAACCGGGTCCAGTTGAGGGACAAACCCTGTTCGCACGATTTCGCATTTGCCCCTTCATTTCAACCTGTTGTACACAGCTTTATCTTGCTGCACTATAGCTCGCTTCAAACCCTATGGTCTCATGAAAATGTATGGAGATTGGTATAGGAAGGAATACAAAGCTGGCCAAAACTCTCAGGGGGAACAGTCAGAGACCTTGCTGTCAGACACCGAGAGTTCAGACTCGCGCCAGAAACCTCGAAGAAGTACGATATCTCGATGCGGCATAACAGTATTGTTCCTTGCGTCTCTTTGCGTTGCGGCCGGGCTTGGAGCATGGCTCGGTAGTCGATGGCACATAGGTGCTGATCATTTCTGTGCTGCACATGCTTCTCAATATTGTAAAACACCATGCACAGTGTGTAGCGTCTCCGGGCGCTGGCCGACGGGTCCCTAGCACCGATTCGGAAAGACGTTGATATAACCTACAATGTGATCCGGTTTAATGGCTCTTTGTTGAAGGAGAACGTCTATCGACAGGATGCAGGCCCCGATGTCGACGCAGCCTGGGCATCCCTCGGCGTGGACTGTAAGCTTGGAAGAAGGTTTGCGGTGATTCTCTGCTGATGGAATTCTTGTGCAGACCGTAGCGTAATGATACCTGTGGACGAAGCTGCAAAGTCGGGCCTTTTAGCTGATCAGGTCAAAATCGCTGACAAGTACGGTGGTGGATTCCCAGCCAACATGGAGGGTCTCCATCAGCTCCATTGCTTGGTAAACAACGGACATAGTCTTCTTACGACCTTCGCTGACAAGATTGTTGACCAGAATCTTCTCCGAAAATCTCTGTACTATAATTTTGACCATTACCATGCGCTTGGCGAAGGAGCTTTTTCGAACTCAGATCATATTCTCCGGCACCATGTTTGTAAGTGCTGAACTGTATGACCACAATGGCGGCAAAGCTCATCGATTCCCAGCTCACTGTCTCGATATCATCCGACAGCAGCTCATGTGCACGATTGACACAGGGGTCCTAGGCCAGGTTTGGTGGAATCCGAGTTGGCCAGAAGCATATGTGGACTTCAATACCCAGCACAAATGTAAAAACTTTGACGCAATTCGTCAATGGGCAGAGAACCATCAGCTCCCCAAGGATATTCCGTTTGATTTCTTGCAGCCGCCACAAGAAGGCGACACGATATATGAGCACATACCATGATAAGTGGAAACAGCGGATGCTGTTGATAAACCCAGAACACCACAATTATGATGACTCCAACCACAAAATGTCTTGACCGTATCTTCACATTCATCTCCACTAGCAAAAAGTCAATAACTGCATGTGTTTGTCGAGATAATACTGTGGAAAAGCTGCTTTCTGGCAACTTGATTAGTACAAATCAAATCAGCTCAAAAGGGAGGTGGTTTGTTGCAAGCAGACTTAGTTGGTATCTCGAATAGAGTAGCTTGGTGTGTCTTCGTCTAGTATCACTTGTCATTGAATCGCGAAGGTTCAGCTGGCACGGGACAGTCACTGGTTCCAAGTCCCAATCAAAGCACCCCGAGTTCTGCTCAGAGGCGCAGATGCAGTCAAATTCTATGGTGTTGCAACGCGCCGTAGGCTGATTGAATGTGTTCAACTCTGGTAGCCATGGGGCTACACGCTACTCCGTACACAAAGTGCTATTATGAAACGTGACAGTGGATTGTTGATGTAATTGGTGACGATGCAGGAGGTTTGCCCCCTCGCCCAGCCATGCCGTTACGCAACCGGCCAGAAAGTTTGTCGCATCGCTGTGGCTGGTGCTACTTAAGTACTCCCACTAACTAGTTAAGTTAACTATCCGGCCCAACGCCCTATCCAGCAAAACCAAAACAGAGAACCGCTCGCATTTCAATATTGGCAAACCGGGAGGCAGACTTCTGTCAAGAATTTGAGTGTCATCTCCTGGCTTGGAATGGATGCTGTGTCTTGGCAAGCCTATTTGATCATGTTGTGTTGATTCAACCGAACGGATTGTCCACACGACTGCAGCAATAACCCATGTCAGAGCCTCTTTCCATGACACGGCCTCGAAATTCTGGCCATATAGTCGAAGGCGTCTATCCATCAATCGATCTGTCGGAACGTGCTTCTTTAGGCGTTCTGCTATCATCATGGCTGCCAAGGGAGGGAAGACCATGCCGGCAGGTCACACAGCAGGCATATTTGCAGACATGACCTTGGACGGCCCCGAAATTGGTACATTGGTTGCGGTCATTGACCGAGCCAAGAACCTGCCAAATCGGAGAACTATGGGGAAGCAAGATCCATACTGTGCAATGAGACTAGGTAAAGAAGCCAAAAAGACTGGTACAGACAAAAGGGGTGGGCAAACACCTAAATGGTAAGTTGATCACACCTCATGAGATACACTAAGCTCACCATCTTACTTTAGGGACCAAGAACTACGATTCACGGTTCATGATTCTCCCGACTACTATAAGCTCAAGTGCTCCGTATTCAACGATGACAAGAAGACGGACCTGATAGGAGAAGCTTGGATCGACCTGACGACAGTGGTGGTCCCCGGCGGAGGCCAGAATGATTTGTGGCATCAGTTGCAGTTCAAAGGGAAATATGCCGGAGATGTCCGAATGGAATTGACCTACTACGACACACGCCCCAAGGATCCAGTGCGCACAGAAAAGAGACGAGACAAGGAGCAGACAGAGCACACCAAGCAGAATTCAAGCAGCAGTGGTGTTGCTCCACGTAGGCTAGGACCACGAGAAGTAAAGAGAAGGCCACTACCAGCAGACCCTTCGATGTCTGCATCTCCAAGCAGGCCATCTCCACAGGGGCAGGTCCATTCTGCTCCGCTACCACAACTTCATCAACATGATACTCGGAACCACTCACATCAGGACCACGACGACCAATGGGGCTCAGACTCCCAGTGTCCCGTCCCGACGAGCACTGAAAACTCCTCATTTCCTGACCCACTGTCAGAAAAACGATCTGATTCTGACCCTCCAGTTATTAATGATGGGTACCGGCAGCCTCAGGCAGCGCCGAATTCCAATTTTCCTGCGCAACAACCTGTGCAATATGGAGATCTCGCGCGTCACGGCGAATTCCGAGACTCGGATAGCTTTAGCTTCCATTCCGCTCAATCACCTCTACCAGTCACTCCAACACATCCATCATCCCACGGGTCTTATGTTGTTGAACGTTACCATAGCGCGCAGTCGCCCGATACACCACCCGATAGGAGCTCACCTTATTCATTGCCACCCCAGTATGGATCATCGCCTCTTCCATTCACTCACGACAAATCCGCCCCTGGATTGGGTAACCATCAAAGCCAGATATCCTTTCGCAGATTTAGCACATCTCCTGTCAAGAACGACGTTTTCCGCGATAGCCCTCTACGACAATCGATCTCCCAACATGACGTTGAACCTGCTCTACAGCCGCGGTACCACTCGTCTGAAGATGAAGGACCTCCACCGCCTCCGCCCGCACACCGGAGCAACCTACAGACCTCGGCCTCGCCGCCTGATGTGCCTCTAAATATGCAACCGGTAGCAATGCCCCAACCCTTGAGTCTGGGATCAAACAGCCGTCGCATGTCCCCCTTCGATCGCAGTCCACTCCAAAGCATTGAGCGAAATTATGACCCGTTGTGTCATAGCTCTGAGCCCTCCCCTCCACCTTCCGCGGAGAAGGATCAGCTATACTCTCCCTACACGAAACCAATATACTCCTCACCACCCTATCGAACCGGGGCTAGTGCACAGGGAGGACCCACAAATGGCATCGAGAACACACCAGCTAGCTTAAGGCCAGGTTATGGGCGGGGTATGGAAGAGACCGCAGATTCATGGATGCAGAACACCCATGATGTCAAAATACAGTCTATGACGTATGTAGAGTCTCCAAGGGACGGGGAGAGGGACGGGGAGATGGACGTCGTTGGCAGCCTGTACAAGCCGTATCAGCCGCCTCAGGTTGAAGATGAAGGGGAGGCCTTTGCGTCCGAACCCCCATTTATCCAACCTCGAGCGGTAAGCCCCGATCTACGCACTGTCCCCAGAAGAAAAGCAATCAGCCTCCAGCCTGTAGAAAGGCCGGGTGACCAGAGGCTGGGTAGCATTCCATTTGGACCTGATTCATATGAAGTTTTCAATCCATCATCTCCGCAGAGCTCAACTGTTGCTGGTCCAGAAAGTCGATATGAGACTCCGGAACAGGCCAAGGAAGCTGCTCGGCAGCATGAAGTGCAAAAGCTTCGAGATCAAGGCCCAATTATCGGTAACGATGGACGAGAAATCGACCCTACAGATCATCTTCCGACAGACACCTGGGCCCCAGAGCCAGAAAGGAAAAGCAGAAAGCCAGAAATGGTGATTCGATACAAGACAAAGGAGACCACTCCACGCAGACCACCGGCTTATGGATCTTCTCCCGGATTAGCAAGACCTCACTCGATTGCAGGTTCGGCGTATGGAAGCTCTCCCTTAGTATTAAAAACCCCACCCGGCTCAGCGCAGCAGAATGATGGCCGCAATCGCTTGCAAAAGCAGATGCCTGGGCGTCCTCTGCCGGTGCAGCCATATCAACAAACTCATTCGAGTCCTGCTGTTCCAAGTGCCAATTATAACACGCCTTCGCCGCGAACGAATCACCCAACTCGCCCAGATCTGACGGAATATTCTCTGTACGACCAGCAAAATCAGAGGCATAGCCGTGGAGGAAGTCTAGGGGGCCCTTATGATGCAGGCCCTCCCATCCCTGCGAAGGTACCCATATCTACTGTTGGCTTGAACGATAGACATGCAGCATATGGAGGCATGGATGCCCTGAGCGCTGAACTGAGCACTATTGACATCGGCGCTGGTATGGGTGGCAGAGGCACCAGAAGCAGGCGAGGGTATTGATCTGAGGCATAAATGGGGTTTTCAAATCATTTTTTGTTGGTCGTTCGGCACGAAAGAGATGGTCGGGATATAGCACGGAGTAGATCATGATCCTGTACGATAGTGGGAAATGGAGGAACACATCATTGTGGCGTTTATGTTTTCCGAAGTCCTACCCAGTGTGATGGACAAAACGGGTATGAAGAAACACACACTAGGCGGCTTTATTGCAATGTGTACGTGGCTGGCATCTAGCTGATATCGGTGTTTCCACCCTTTATTGAAGAAAGTTCTGTGCGTGCGCAGATTTGAAACGGTGAAATTGATATCGTTTTAACTCGTTGCGCTTTTGGCACACCTGCGTCTCGATCTATATTGACGATGCCTGGAAATGGAGAAAAGCGTGATAGTGCTCCCTCCCACCTCATTCTTCCATCCCGAAATAGCACCGCAATACCCATCAAATCACCTCAAACATTAAATGCAAAGCCAAGTAGAACGCCCTCTCCCAAAAAAGAAACATTCCCACCTCCTAGGAGGTCTTGCTACGATGCAATTCCACCAGTGCCTGGATCAATTCCCACTCAAGCCTCACCCTTTGGCATATTTCCCACAGGATCAGGAGAGCACAATGATCCGGCTGGCATTGCGAAGGATGGTCAGCAAGCATCCAAGAATCCCCTAGATGGATCGCAACTGCCTTTATCCTCGCTCAATAATCCTTCCAATAAGACGCTTTTTGATATATACGCGCCGTCATATATTCCTCTATGGCTAAGAGCAGTGAACGAGTCAATCGCTGTACCTAGATTCTGTTCCTCGCCTAACACAATCAATTTTACGGAGTACATTGGGAGCTTTGCAGGCCGTCTAGTCTTGCAGCCGCTTGCACCAGTCCAACTACCTGCGATACACAGTGTCCCCGTGGTCGAATCCGTTTCACCTGATTCACTTACTGCGGAGAATTATGCAGCTTACTTTAGGGAAGCATTGCAAAATGAGATAGCAGCACAGGCTACGGAGCTGAGATACTCAAACATCTTCGCGGCACCTTTCGAGTTGCAAGACCCGGTGCAACAGCTCTTTCGAGTCAAAATCCCTGGCATTCGCGAAAACTCACCGAGGATTGACCTTGGAGATGTCGTTCTTGTTAGGCCACTGTTCCATCGTTCTGATGTGCAAGAGCTTACAGAGGTCTGGTCAGCGTCGGGTGGAGGCAAAGAGAGAGGTTTATGTGCACCTGCTTTCGCTGGTCTCGAGTTCCATGCAATTGTGTGGGGAGTAGCACGTCCTAAGGAAGAGGTCCATCTCCGTGTTGATGGTCTTACGCAGCGGACCTGCAACATCATGTTTGCCGTCCAGGAGCATCAAACCACACCAGTAGCACGAAGTATAGCGTGCACTGCTGAGGCTCTACGAGCTTCCCGTTCAGCCATGGCCAAATCCAACTGGCTGAGCAGAATGCTTTTCCCAACACCATTTGACGCAGTCGTGCAATCAACATTACCGAGGGGCACCTTCCCTGATATGAAATGGTTTGACACACAACTCAATTACGAACAACAGAAAGCTGTCAGTGCTGTTGTTGATTTGAGCTTTGGCAATGTACCCTACCTTATCTCTGGCCCTCCAGGCACTGGCAAGACGAAGACAATTGTCGAGATTACTCTGCAGCTCTTGCAAAGACCACAGCACCCAGCTACCGGTCAGGGCAGCCCCCAGCAAGCACCACACATTCTTCTCTGTGCGCCCTCTGATCCCGCGGCTGATACATTAGCTTCTCGCTTGGCCAGTTCGTTGACACCTGCGGAGCTGTTTCGTCTTAATGGATGGTCAAGATCTTTCCCTGAAGTTCCCGGCCGCCTTCTACCATATTCCTATGTGGACAAAGACCTCTTCTCGTTACCAAGCTTTGAAAGGATCATGTCCTACAAAGTAGTTGTGACTACCTGTCGTGATGCTGATATGCTTGTCCGCGCTCGGCTTACGAATGAGGCTCTGGGTTATCTAGCAAGAAGCACATTGCGCGCAGTCGCCCCAAGTGCACATGCAGCTGTCAATGAACTTCAGCTGCTACACTGGACAGCGTTATTGGTGGATGAGGCAGCACAAGCAACAGAGCCCGAGGCACTGATTCCGCTAATGGTTGTGACGCCGTCAATTGAGAGCCAGGTAAATACGCAGGTTCTGTCCTCCTTGCCTCAATTCATCATGGCGGGCGATGAATATCAACTTGGGCCCCGACTCTACTCGGGATGTACTTCTGCCCTTTCAACCTCTCTGTTCGCTCGTCTCTTTTCTCGTGCCTTCTATGCACAGCATCCTCTTTCCCGGCAAAAGGGCTGCCCAAGACTGACGGCGTCGATGCTTCCGATGAACCGTCCAGCATTCACTAACCTATTTCGCAATTACCGTTCGCATCCGGCCATCCTATCTGTACCTTCTCAACTATTCTATGGTGACACGCTGATTCCCGAAAAAAATACCCTCTCTGACATAATCCGAACCTGGCCAGGCTGGAAGTCTCCCCACGGCTGGCCTGTACTGTTCGTGCAAAACACCACTCCTGATACTGTTGAGTCTGTTCTAAGCGGTAATGGATTGGGCGCAGGCGCGCTCTACAATTATGGCGAAATAATGAAGGCGCTTCGACTGGTACAGAAACTCCTTGAGCATCACACGATCGACTATCAGTTGAGTGAACACATCAGACAGGATGAGATTGTTGTGATAAGTCCTTTCAAAGCTCAAGTACATCTTCTGAGAAAGACTTTCCGGGAGAACAATCTATATGGTGTCAACATTGGTCCCCTAGAGGCATTCCAAGGATTGGAGTCGAGGATTGTTGTGCTTTGTACGACTAGAACCAGAAGAGGCGTGGATGATAATGCAGCGAGATTCGTGAAAGACGATCAGGAACGAGGAATAGGCGTGATAGGACAGCCGAAGAGGTTCAATGTTGCCATCACAAGAGCCAAAGAAGGTCTGGTTGTTTTAGGAGATCCGGAAACCCTGACCGTGGAAGGTGATCCATGCTGGGAGGCTTTCATTAGCTTCTGTGCCAGAAACGGCTGTTTGGTATCCCAGAATAAGGAATCCTCCGACTTGGGTTGGTCAGAGAAGTTTACCGATCAAGAAAGGTTCAAGAAAGGTAGACTGGAGAATGCATTGGTGTTTGCTGTAGATCTGAAGATGAGAGAGGCTGCCAGAACAGAGCGGAAAGGTTTCGGATACCCTGAATCACCAACGACGAGACGGCGGAAAGGGGTCTCACTCAAGGGCCAGATGCTTACGACTGATGATGAAATGTGGAAGAGAGGTCTGCAGATGGCAGAAGATATTCAGGAGTCTACATTGCTTGAGGACGAGGACGAGGATCAACAAGCTGAAAAGGAGCAGGAGGAAAGCCCAGATCCGTGGAATTCCGAGCGATATCCTGCAAGCAGGAAAGAGGAGCTGACTAGGAAGGACCGTCTTACAGAGGAGTCTCTCGGAGCGAGTCCGACACTGACTGCCATCACAGCCAAGAGTAATGTTGAGGGTGAGAAACGAGTCTTCTCTTCTGAGGGTGCAAAGGAGTTCGATCGAGATCCCAAGGCTGAATTTGAGAAGATGGACTGTGCTACGCAATAGCCTTCCATCCTGTGGCCTTGGATAGTGTATAGCGAGAGCCATGACACCGTAGATGAGTGCTAGGAGTAGATATATCAATCCAAACGACTCGCAAAATATGCATACCGCCAACAAAATAAGAATTTGTTTAGAAGTCTGGAGCAAAGATAATCCTGCCCGAACTGGAGTCTTGCTTGATTTGGTTTAGATTGTAGGCCTATCTTCGGTTGAACATACCACAGACGATAGACGATAGACGAACTCATTGTCTCGAGTTTCCAAACTATCTTGGTCGCTCAACCTTCTTCAGACCTTCTGACCTAAGCCTGATCTCTCGAAAATTCGCCTGAACGCGGCAGCAGTTATGCATCACCACCAACATAGCTCGTGATCATGTCGTCTATGTTCAATTCCCGTTCGATTTCGCCACCAACCAGGCAATTTCTCGACCATGAGAAGACAATCTATCAGCAGTACCAATGTGCTCCTAGGCCATGGACTATTCTGACAAAAGTATCGTTCCGTGGATAGTCTTTGTTTTTTTACTGAATCTTAGGTGACTCCTGGAATGTCTTAGCATTCTCTGTTTCCTGTTGTGCTGTTGATAACGGGCATTGTCTGCGCAATGCAGACTGATGAACGGCTAGGCCATTGTTGCTGTCAGCAGGTAAGGACACCTGGCATAAAGACCCAGCATGGCTCAGAAAACGAACCATAACATGCCGTAACCCTAAGCGCATAAGACTGCTCTGTGAATATCTTGAACCAGGATTCTTCTTGGAGTCCGCTCGCAAGATAATGACCCAAGCTATGACTTGGTAGAGCTGGAATACATCAAGCTAATGGTTGAGGGACACTGATCTTACCATTGGGCATGCTGGCCAGTCTGTTTAAAGAAGAGATTTAGCTGGTAACCGTGCAAGAGTCGTGTTTTGCATTATTGGGTCTCCGACGATTTGCTTTGTACACTGCTCAAGTCCTGGACCAATATCTGGCACGGTTTCCCTAGTCTACAAAGCGGAACGAATGAGTCACTCTCCATTGACCTTCAGGATGTCTTTATCCTGTCAAGAACGACTCCCAACCGGCCCAGCAAGGCCAGTCGAGAGTCTGTTTGGTACACAGTCATTCGATAGGTTCTAGCCAGCCCGTGTGCTTGAAACACCTGGAGGGGTCTTGCTTGTCCCAACAACATTCCCTCCGAAATGTTTTTCTTTGGGGATATCTTGGAGATCCATCTCGAAGGTATTAACCATATGTCTCGCAAGTGGTGCATCACCGGCTTAGCGTCAGGCTTTTACGTCTTATTGTTGGCCCTAGAGAAGGTTGAACGTCTTGCCAACCCTTTTGGCACTTGGACAGTTCTCAGAAGCACCCAAAAAGCGCCAGAAAGGTGTTGACTAGGTCTGTCTCCATAATTCGCTCTCTGATCCAGGCTGGGAAATGCAAGCCTCTTTGGGTAATTGCTGTGGTGACTTAACAGGATAGAACAGCTGAATCCACTTCACGACAGCCATCAGTGGTGAAGACAAGAGGGTTAGCAACCAGTGAAGATCGGTATGCTATAGCCGCTCGTGGCCGATATCGGTCACAGTTCTTTGGTGAATAAGGATACAGGAAAGACTTGTGAGTGAGATCCCAGTACATGATTGAGGTCTGGAAAGTAATAACCTGTAACCTAGCTGTATCAAAAGCTCCCTCAGATGCTATCACAGCAGGTTCTGGCTTGCACAGCTGAGGCAAAAAGCAGTACTGTCATCCACGTACATCAATCGTTGTTGAAAGTATACTTACACCATGAATAGAGCCAGGGACAGGACCTGTGCCATGTTGTTACTTGCTGCGCTGTAGTGGGCTGGATGGTCCTTTGGCTCATCTTTGCTGTCTCCATCACTGGGCTGTTCTATGTTTACTGTGAAGACACGGGGATATGTTCATGTATTGGTGACATTTTCTGGCCCTGTGCCCAGTCACGCGGCGTATTGCTGGGAAATCACACAGAGGTGAATTGGGAAGAAAACTCGTCAATACAGACAACTGAATCGAAAACGGCCTGTGACTGTATTGATTGCCGACCCCAGGAACACTCCGCCGCAAGACACCCACAGCTATTCACAGTATGACCCTACTTATCACAATCCTGCCGATCCTAAGCGCATCATCCTACAAAGCGGTCCTCTCTTAAAACATACTTCCACACACTTGCACCTCCGCCCATATCCTCATCAATCAAGACATCGACCATTTCGTCCCACTTGACAGTTCCTTCATTCAAAACCGCTTTGCGAACATCCTTCTTCTTCTTCCACACCAGCTATGGCAGATCCACTTGAGCAACGGTCCGCACCTGCAAGTCGCCAAATTTCGCCCATCGCCCAACCACCTAGCCCTGTCAAGACCAAAGAAGAGGACGAGGAGATAACAACAAACCCCGACGCTGCAGCTGATCAGTCCACATTGTCCCCAGCTAAGGAAGAAGACACTGAAGCGATAATCGCCCTCCATGCTGGTCCTTCCGCCTCCGCCTCCCCACCTGCTACTGAAGAAAACTCGCTAGAAGGTGCGGATACTACGGGAGATGTCAGTACCACTGACATACAATCCAAATGTGTCATGAGTTTTCTTCGACCACAGCCTGGTAAATGCTCCTCCAAAATCACCAATGATGACCGGCACTATATTTCCAATTTTTTTGGACGCAATAAAACCTGCAGTACCAACATCCCAGATGACTTCTACCAAGTGCTTTGTCGGAAATGCATGCAGAGCATGAAATACCGTCTCAAATGCAACAAAGAAGAAAAGGAGGTCCACTCCCAGGTTGCAGCAATCAAGCACGTCCTTCGAAACATGGCCGCAAGTGGCAAGTGGGTTCTTCTGGAAGTTCAGCTTACGAAGTCGGAATACGATCGACGGCGAGATCCGAGCAAATATGATAAGGAGCTCAAGGAGTTCAATGATGCTATCATCAAGGCTCGTGAAGAGGCAAAACAAAAGGGTGAAGTTGTCAAACGTCGCAATACCAAGCCAGCCCTAGTTCCCGTGCCCGACTGGCTTGCAGAGCTGGTTGTGAGGAGTGATGACAATGCTGATCAGGACTATACCCCTGTCCACGAAAGAGAGCCAACTCGCTGGACCTTTGAGGATATGATCGGTTTGGTGGATCTGATTGGTGAGAACTGTGACGTCCTGCCAAACATCGAATGTCTCCCTGTCACCCAAGGTGAGCTCGACCAAGTACGGGCAAGAGAAGCACGTGCAATCCGCAATGCTGCAAAGGACGATTGCCAGGAAAGCATCGCATCGATCGCTCAGACCGAAGCAGATCTGAGCAGAAACCCAAACGAAACAGCTCCAGCGCGAATTGCAGGACTTCAAGAAGATGCTGGCCGAGATGGAGGAACAGCTCGAAGAGGCAGAGGAGGAGTTGCAGAGAGCGCTGGACCAAGCTGCGAGCACGCAACACACCATCCCGCCCAAACGCCGCAACGACAACAAGCCGGGCAAGAAAGGCGAGAGCTCCAAGCGAGTCGACCGGGTGGCTAAAAAGAAGAAGGCCCCAGCGACCACACCAACACAGGACCGCGCCTCGCAGGATACCCTCGCAGATCCAGACCTGCAGACCGAACCCGGCACCATGGCTTCTGTGGACGACGACAACAACGGCGACATGGATCCTGTACCAGACTACAC